GTAAAGAGACATCAAGCTTCTCAATGATCAAAATTAGAGTTTGTCAAACTGCTATATATCCAACCTGTAAATTGTGTGGTTTAATTTACTTGAAATTATGATATTTTTGTCAAAGTAAATATTTTGTAAAAATTTATAAAAATTAAACAAGCTATTTTAAATCTATTTTAGTCAAATTGTTCCGTAACCCCTTACACACATATGGCAACGTTATTTGAATAGCAAAATTGAAAGGCAATACCTTCATACACATATATATGATTTATATATATATATCATTATACATGCTAAAATAAAGATTTTAGCACGCAATGATGTAATTAACATTTTGATTAGCACTAATCTTTGCATTAAACTAAGTTACGACAAGTTAAACAACAGACCCCTGATTCATAGTATTAGTCTTACAGTACTTAGGTCATATGTATTTTTAAGCTAAACTATGTTGCACTGGGTAACCTTAATACTAAGATTATAACAAAAATAATTATGAGTTGACGAGTAGGAGCAGTCACATTAGCTAAGAAAGTCAGTATTTATACCGTTCTTTGTTCTCGTCCTGAATATGCCAGAAATAATTGCCACTTGACGTTAAGCATGCAACAATCGATCAACCAATCAAGTATCCTTGACCTATTATATATTAGCGTTAACTTATAAGTTGTAAATGTCCTCCTGACATGGTTCACCCGACTCTGGCCTCGATTAATGTTTCAATCATCAAAATTTCTGTTGGCATTATTACGCCAGTTTTTCAAATACGCTGTGTTTGGCAGATTATCACTGGTACCTATATGGATGCCATGTTACATCCTGTTATCCTCAAACTCCTGACTTGGGCCTGGTTGTAATTGTTTACTCATTATGTCAGATTCCCAGAAACTGTGTTTGGTGTTTTTAGTTCTTTTAAGGCGTACATGTCCGCCCATCTTAAAAGTTCACCTCATCTTATTAATGGGATGTTGCTCTCTGCCTGTTAAACACGCGTACGTACACACTCCTAATGGATAGAATACATATGTGGAGTTCTATTATTAAATGATGTAATCCTTTTATACTTTTACTCCAAAAACCTGGTCAATATTAATAGTACTATTCCTAAAACATCCACATTCCACACAACTAAAATGCACAATTACATAACCCTGACTATGTCCAAAATGTGTAAAGACAAATGGAGAACATACATGTAAAAGACAACGTTACCTAATGTTTCGCATAAACATTTCAAAATCAAGGTAAACAGATAGCAGTATGCGTCATTGTATAACATACACAAGTGTAACCAATAACCAAAATCATCGATGCCTTGTTTTCATGCACTGATTTGATTGGTTGATTGTTGAGAATTTACAATACAGAGAGTCCTTATAAGTACAACTCGGAGACACTGTTGGCCATCCCATGTAGTAAAACGTCCTTCTGGTAAATGCGAAGTCATATCCACAGTGTAGAGAGAGAGTATCAGGCTTTCCGCACGTCGAAGAACCCATACAAAAACTCTAATATGGGTCCTGGGTGGCTCTTTACAGTGTAAAATTTTGCCCATATTCAGTATAATCTTCTATTCCAACGTCAATCGAAATTCACAACCTTTATCCAGGTCGACCTACTTTGCACAAACTTTCCATTCATATGGATTTATCAATAACTTTTTTGTCATAAATATTCATGAAATAATAGAAAGTACAATAAATTACCTATCTTGACAATATGTCGTTAAAGTAACACGCATTATAATAAACTTGCACGGCCAAGTTACCTACAGGATGACCACTAACTTGAACATGGAAATCAAAGACGGCACTTAATTCTGTTAAAAGGAGAAAGTATTACATGGTCATGTTTTCGTTTATTGTCACAAATCAGACAGTTGGTTTTCTTGTTGAATGGTTTTACATTTTGTCATGTCGGAGTGTTTTGTGGCTGACTATACGGAATGGTGTTTGCTTATTATTGAAAGCCTTTCGTTGACCAGTAGTGTTGCTTGTTTCCACGTCATTTGGACTCTCTGGGTACTTGTCTCACTGGAAGTCGTACCACATGTCCTTTTTATATCCAGTATCATATTTTACATTCATGTGTGCCTTTTCTTTATATCCAAGTCCTAGATAAATTTTCAAGTAGATACCAACAATTGACCTTTGCTTTACACGTTTATCAAAGTAATTATTCAATATGACACAAGTTGTGAAACTAAGATCAACAAGAAAACAATAGAGACTTGAACTTGTCGTGGTTATAAATTTCCTCCGTGTTTTCAAATTAGAATAGTATAAATATTAATAAAAAAAATTACTCGGAACATTTTATTTGATATCTATGGTTACATGTAAGTGACAAGCATGTTATAATTATATGGATATGAATAATAGCCTTTAAAGGTCGGATTTAAGGGGGCACAGGGGATCCGACCCCCTTATGGAGCAACATAAATGGTAAATGTATTATCTTTTTATGTGTCCGATTTCTACCTTTGCATAGTTTACTCTCGCCCTAGTTTCTTTTTAGAAACGGAACGTCACAGGGCTATGATTGTTGTCTTAAGAATCGTAATTCCAAATATACTAAAATGTTTCCTATGTTTTATTTTCTTATTGAACTTATTTACAACTTTCATAGACTGGACAACTTAAACATATTGACATATTGTTTTTGTCCTCTTACAACATACCCAAATTTTCTAGTGGCAGTCCAAATTATCCGCCCTTCGTCACGGTCTCGTCCTGCACATGCATGAAATATTTGTAACTGGACTTTAACCAAACAACTGTCAATCAATCAATACGACGTTATTTTTTATATATATTTTTAGGGGTATCTAGAAAAAATAAGGGTTTCCTTACTAATATATGCCTACATGTACCTACACTTTAAAATTATTTTCAATCAAATGGTTAACTATAATATAGAAATATGGTCACATAAACTTCTCTGATCCGGAAATAAAAAACAATGCTAACGAGATCGGTCAATTAGATGTTATGGTGTGCAAATACGCAACCAAGACTGGTCGGCTTATACCCGTTACATCGAATGGCCCGTGTAACAAAAAATGCCACCTTTCTGCACCTTAAAGAACCTCAAAACTCCCAGAGAGTTTTTAGTAGCCTGTTCTATGGCAAAACTTCTGCAACTGTCCAGCATATCCTCCTTTTCCAGCTCCATAGTCATCAAATGCCCCGACATGACACTAGTTTTTGAAATATCCTTAAAAATGAACTATATGCTCGTGACTAAAAGTGCTTAATATAAAAAATAAGAAGATGGGTTATTATTGACGTATACATTATCAACGATAGGTCACCGTACGGCCTTCAACAATTAGCAAAATCCATACTGCATTGCAAGCTATAAAAAGCGCCACATGACAAATATAAAACAATTCAAACGAGAAAACGAACGGCCTGATTTATGCAAAAACAATAAACGAAAAACAAAAATAATATATAGCGACATACGACAACCACTGAATAACTGAATATAGCTCCTGACCAAGGACAGGCACATACAGAGTGTGACGGAGTTAAACATGTTTACGGGTGCCTAATCCCCCTTTGACCTGAGACAAAGGTGATTGTTTATTACATTCAAAATTGTGTATAGTTTTCTTATCTTGAGGGAGTTGAAACCCTACTATGAGTATTATACAATAATTAATCAATTGAAAATTTCGACTCATTAAGCACTGGAAGGAGACTTCTCTATAGGGCTGGATAACGCAGAAAAACTTCCTTAACTTTCAGTAGCACACTCTATTTTTCTCTGTGTTTATATATTTATATCAAAAATGAACAAAATACATAATTAAATTTGTCATTTCTTGAAGATTTACAAAGTAGCAAGTGTATAAGTCTATGAAAAAACGATAAAAACAATTTTGAGATGAAATTATCCTTGCATATATACGAAAGGAATTACCGGAAATTAAAAAAAAATGTTCATTATATCAGATTCAATTGTGGAACCATGATTTTCTGATATATCCATTTAGACTTGTAATTGATTGTTTGTAATCAAAAAGCAATTATTGAATATGATTTTAATTTTTATTTAATTATTTAGATGAATATTTCAAAAAACATCCCAGAGATTGCATGACCTTATTTATAATCATGAAGTATTACCAGATGAGGCTTCGTAGGATTTTATCATCCCCTTTTAGAGTTATATCCCTTTGAAACAATTTCTTTTATGTCCATACAATCTTTAAAATTGTTACAGATTGTATCGATCTGACAATAGCAACATGTATTTGAAAAGGAGGCAAAATGAATGTTAATAAACAGAAACAACTATTTTGTTATCAACCCTTATTCGAGTTTTTTCCCTTGAAATATTATACACAATTTTAGAAAAAAATATATTTCGTGAACCGGAAGAAGAATTTTAGACCTTCGCCAATAATCTTTAGTTTATGCGACCTTTCATTGGCATCCAAGGTCAAAGGTCATAGAATGCAACAAGTTTTTACGCTTAAATTTCAAGCTTGAATGTTAAGAACACGATTAGAGGTAGCTGCATACACACGCGTATAATATGTTCCTCTCGAAGAGCTCTACATTTTATACATTAGACCCAAAACTGACCGAAGTTACGATGAGATAACTCTTTAAAGTATAGTTTATTGTGTATATCTTTGAAATGGTAACAGATATTAACCTACTATAAACTGCAAAAATGATGAGTATTTTAAGACCTTCAAGTTGATGTCAATGTCAAGGTCATGAGGAAATTTCACCTTGACGTTCAAAGGGTATTATAACCTTGACCTTGTGATTTTTTAAAGTCCCATGTCTCTACGACTTCTGGTTCTTAAGTTCAGTATTGCATCATATATCTAATTATACATTGTGCCCTTGATGAGCTATGGATTGTCCCAACTGACAGTGTTGTACTTAATCTGTAGATCATTTTACATTTGGCAGATTTGAGAAATCCCTTGTCGTTTTAGAGAAATAGCTAGCCACCTTAAATTTTCAGTAATTGAAGAGTTTAACATGGTTGTATGTTGGACTAAATACCAAAAACATTTGATAAAAAACAAAGAAAAAAATGCAGTTTGAAATTGTCATGTTCAGCATTGACTTTGTAAGTTTAGTAAGTTCTATTTATAAAATTGATATTGCATCATTTTTTGGACTATGCCAAATGGGGTCATGTGACATATAAAATTGAACAGCCAAATGAGCTCTTTTCAAAAATAAAAACCGTTAACCCCCTTTTCCATCCGAAAGATAGGGTGCCGTCATTAATTGCAAAAGATGGTACTAAGGTTGTCGCATATCAAATGAAAGTCCATAATGCGTGCATTTCATTTATCAAATTTTTGTTTCCCGAAAATTGGTTAGGTGGATTCATTGAGTGCAATAAATTAAATGTCTTAGGAGATATGGTTGTCGCATATCAAATGAAAGATCATAATGTGTACATTTTAAATATTAAATTCCTGTCCCCAAAAAATGAGTCAGATTACGCTATTAAGTGCAAAAACAAACTTACTAGATGGTGGTGTTGTCGAATATCAAATGAAGGTCATCAATACAATTGAGAATGGAAATGGGGAATGTGTCAAAGAGACAACAACCCGACCATAGAGCAGACAACAGCCGAAGGCCACCAATGGGTCTTCAATGCAGCGAGAAACTCCCGCACCCGGAGGCGTTCTTCAGCTGGCCCCTAAACAAATATGTAAACTAGTTCAGTAATAATGGACGTCATACTAAACTCCAAATTATACACAAGAAACTAAAATTTAAAATGATACAAGACTAACAAAGGACAGGCGCAAAAATGCAGCGGGGTTAAACATGTTTTTTGAGATCTCAACCCTCCCCCTATACCTCTAGCCAATGTAGAAAAAACAAACGCACAACAGTACGCACAGTAAAACACAGTTTAAGAGAAGTCCGAGTCCGATGTCAGAATAGGAAACAAAAGAAAATAAACAAAATGACAATAATACATAAATAACAACAGACTACTAGCAGTTACTGACATGCCAGCTCCAGACCTCAATTAAACTGATTGAAAGATTATGTCTTCATCATATGAAGTCTGCATTACAAATATATCATACTTCCGATCTCGAAAATTGAGGTGGATAGGGTCATAAAGCGCGAAATGTGAAAAGTTTAAAAAGTAAACCTGTCACATATCAAATGAAATGTCATAAAGAGTACATTAATGATATCAGACTTTTCAGGGAAAGACCTTTCAATTGTTTTACAAGCAATTGAGATACTAGTTATCTCTGTATTTAGTTTGTTTAACTGTATGAGTAGTTGCACTATCGTTCACATAGAGGATAAAAATGTTTTCGACATGAACACAAATTTATGATTCAATTTTCAATTAAATAGTAATGCAAGTTTATACCGATCAACTGTAAAAGTAAAAACGTAGTCAAGAGTATCAAGTCCGAATTAATATCTAAACCCAAGTCAGGTACAGTCAGAGGTCAAAAGTGTTTCATACCTTGAAAATTACGCTATATATTTAATATAAATATACGTTTTTTTATTTTTAACTTAAGTTTTGTACTTACTAAGAAAATAAAATGGAGAAAAAGAAATTACCAATAGTCTTAATTAATTCAATTTTTACAGTTTTAAAAACTTTTCATCATGTGTTCATGTTTTCATTTTTATATTAGGTGTTTCAAAGGAGAATAAATGGTGAAGTCGATTTTACAGAGGTTGGAAAGACTATAAAAGAGGATTTGGAAGTTTGCAGAATGAGTTTTGGCTAGGTATGAATTATTCTTTTCTCGGAAATTCTAAAAATAGAATATATATGATTTTTCATTATTACATCTATATTGTATCGTGTTTGCTTAACGTACATATATTCTTTTATTCATATTTTTATTAACAAGCTTTGTAAAACTTTGATGGTGCAAACACCACTAGCTATTTTTCAGAATATGTGATGATACAATGTAAACTCTGGATAGAAAAACTGATCTCCCTTGTCCCTTCTTAAAGTCTGAATTCGAAGGGTTGTTGGAGAATAGAAAAATGTTACAACCCATGCTAAAGTGGAGCGCCCGTACTTTTTACTGTACGGGATGCTTAAAATCCGGTCATGTCCGGTAAATATTGGGACGGGAGAATGTGACGCTCTCAACACATTTTGGAGAGGTCAATAGATGACTTGATGCAAGATAAATATTTCTGTCCCAATCTAGCATATCCTAGTCTTCAAAAGAATTAAAGTAACCCGGTCTACCGCTTGCACAACCTATCATTTAGATTATTGTTAATTTATTCTCTTCCTGAATATGCATGAAAAATAAATGACATTGAACGTGAAGCTAACAATCTAAAAACTCATGACTTCACATTCAACGTGAATTAATTTTATTGTCAATTTGGTCAACATGGCTTACAATAACCTCTTCGGGTCCATGGTTACCTAATGCTAGGCAAAATTTCCGCTGATACCCAACACACCTATTTCGGATGGCGGTTAAATTTTCCCACCCTCCATTGCAGTCGACATATTGTTTTCAACATACCTAATTGATTTATTGTTAAATGTGTTCTAGTTTTGACAATACATAAAATATTTCCAACCAAACAAACAACAACTACATTTTTGTAAGTAATGACGAATTTCTTTGGGAAAAAAATAACATATTTTATTCGTCAAAAGCGCTTTTCAGAGGCGGATTTGGGGGGGGCTTATGGAGTTTCATTTATGATAAATGCATAGACTTTTTATAAGTATCACTCCAAATGTTGACTTGAAAGCTGTATTCGATAGAAACTGGGAACAGAAAAAGATATCTTCAAGTCAGGTTATATCTACAAATAGGTAATCATAACTAAATTTGTGAATCGACTTCTTATAGGAGTCGCTGTCCTTAAATTTTTAGTCTGACCTTTTAATTTAAAGCTTTTTTCAATGATCTTGAAAAATAATAATATAAGGAGAAAAACTTTAAACAGAAAAAAGATAAAAGCAAGACCTACAGGAACATAAAGTGGTGGAATTCGTTTATTGACTCCATTATCACCTGACACAAAGGCCTAGTTTGAACTTTTACCAACACTTGGCGTTCGTCGTCTGTCGTCCGTTAACTTTTACAAAAATCTGTTTTGAAACTACTGGACCACAATCATCATTAAATCCATAAATGATCAGCAGGACAAGATCTACAAATATCATAAATGGCCGAAATCGTTAATCGATTCTATGTAGGAGTAATTACCCTTCAATGTGGAAAACCATAGTAGATAGAGAGAAACTTTTTATAGCAATCTTTACAAGCACTTCAAGATCTAAAAATAAGTCATCATAGCCGAAATCGTCAGTCGAATGAGGAGTGATTGCCTTTAATTAACAATTCTACCCATATTTACGGGTTGTTTTTTTTGCGAAAACCAAAGATGATTAAGAGAAATTGTAAGAGGCAAATAAGTCAACATGGCCTAAATCTTTACTTGTTTCATTATAGAAATTAGTGCCCTTGAATGAAAATAATATAATTTTATTTTATTTTTATTTTTTTGGAAAGGGGGGGGTGGGGTTGAGGTCCCTTGTTGACACTATAGTTGATAGAGATAAACTATAAATAGCAAAAAAGATAAGGACAGTCTCTACAAACTGGTCAACACAGCCAAAGTCGTCAGTTGACTCCTAATAAGAGTTACTGTCCTTGAATGACAGTTTTTAACCTTTTTTTCATAAACGATAGGAGATAGCCAGAAAATGTCAAATAGTGAAATTATTAGCTGGACAAGATCATCAGTTGACTTGTTTTAGGAATTACTGTTCTTTAATGAAGGTTTGTGTGTGTGAAACTACTGGGAATATTCTTATCGCATTTTATCTGTATTATGTAAAAATTCCTAGTTAGCGATACAGGCTTCTTGGAGGTTTATTATCCTGACCATTTTTATATAAATACTTTCGATAGGATTTAGATAAAATCTGGTCACTATCTTACTAAGTTTTGAAAAGAAGTGCTACCACTGCTGCTAACGATGTTAGAGTTGCATTCTTTTGCCAATGAACCTAGGAGTCTCTAGCTTATGTATATATCTATATAGATGTCTTCAATGAAAACCCTTTCTAACAGTTGGCGATGAAGAAACATATATATTTCTCTCCTTTAAATGCGTTAAAATAGGACAATTTTTATACAAGTGTGTACTGTATATACCGATCATCTTCCGTCCTCGTTAAATAGCGACAGAAGATACCAAAGGGATAGTCAAAACTCATAAGTCGTAGAGAAATCGACAAACTTACGACAAAAACGACAGAATGACAAAAACAGTCAAACAAATGTCGACAGATTCTGTTGTAACTAGTTGTAAAATGGTTTAAAACGGACCATACCCTTTATTCACTCCAAGTAACTTATAGGCAAACAAATATGAGTGGTTAATGAGACAACAGTGGACCGTTTGTCTAAGTTACAAAACTAAATAGTTAGTTTAAATGTAAGTTAAATGGTCTTCGTCGCAATAGATCCATTTCACCCTTACGCGACGGTATGTAATAATCAATCATAATAATAAAATTTATAGTACAAATTCAACTGCATCATATGCGCATTTCGATAATAAATGTCTTTTCAATGTTGCTCGTGGCAACAAAAAACATTAAGGGATCCAAAAAAGGACAAAATGTATAGCAATCGCCGGATAGGGATTCAGATAGCTGATCGTTAAATGTTTTCATTAATCTTTCAATCTTTTCTGAAAATTATTGTTACATTTTATTTCATTAAATCTATCACACAGCATACTATTATGTAAATCCTTTCAATTTCAGGCAATGACAGACTCCATATTCTGACGTCACAAGGCAAATTTGAACTGTTGATAACCATGCAGGATTTTTCCAATCAAAACCGTTATGCTATGTATGATAACTTTGAAGTAGGCGATGAGAAATCGAAATACAAGCTGACAATTAGTGATTATAGCGGTAATGCAGGTATGTGTAGCTTCTTACTCAAATACAAACAATCAATCAATTAATCTTACTCGAATGTATTGTTATGCAATGCTTTAATATTTACACCGCAAGTAAACACTTTGCGATTTGTTATGGCTTTTTTGTAATAAAAAGGGTAAAAGTCATATGATCCTTTAAATTAAACAAAACAGATGTTTAGGTTAATGTACTTGAATGGCTATAAGTTTTACTATAAAACACGTGCACATAGATTTTCTTTAATCCAAATTTTCCGAAATGAATGGCTTTTGAATTCCGCTTTTCCGTATATAGTGACCTTTATCAAGACACCCCTCGATAGAAGTTCGACAAGCACATGGCACAAGTGCAACCGGGAAAACACCATGATGAATGAAAAATAAACAAACGTGCATGGATGTCGTATAGTTGTTATTATTCACTAAACTGTTTTTATTTCTGTTGTTTATCTTTCCTTTGTCTTTGTTGATATGCTTTTGTTGAGTTATTGCTGCTCAGTCTAATGGTTTATGCGTTGTTTTCAAAAGACAAACAACAGTCTCCCTGTTGACTGTTACCTTGTGAACTAGCACTTTAAAAATCCGGCTCATCGTGTCAGTTTGGTACAAAGCAGCGGTTATATTTCATTTTCCTTTGTAAATTGTCGTTTGACTTTTCGAAGTTTTTCGGGTTTTTTTGCCAGATTTTGTCTGTCTCTCTCTTTTACTTATGAATTGTGATTCTCTTTTTGATATCTTTTCTCTTTAAGTTGTTTGTTTATAATTCTTTCACTTAAACTGACGTGTCAAGGTTAACACATAATATAGCGTACTTCCCTCTTTGCACTTAAATATTTTAAAATCTGATAAACATGATATATTATGTAATTATTTACATTAACTTCATACCGTTATTTGACTATAAACATTTTCATAATCTCCACTGCAACCTTAAACATACATTCCTGCTATCAGTTGTTAGAAAAAGAGGTAACACTCGCATACTGCTATAAGAAGACACTTGGATCGTTTAAGAGTCAGCAAGCAAACTGACACGCTGTGCCGGATTGTTCACTTTCTAGTTCACAAGGTAAAAGTCCGCAGCACGACATATAACCCTCTCTTGACGCATTGTTTTGACTATGAGCCGAACCTTTGCTTCACATTCTATATACCTCTTGTTTGTCGCAGAATAAAGCAAACACTAATTCCCTAATCTGTTGCTTTACAGGAGATTCTTTTACAAGCCATCGAGGGAGCAAATTCACAACAAAAGACCAGGATAATGATGTCAATTCTGGAAATTGTGCTAATGATTACAAAGGAGCCTGGTGGTATACAAGTTGCCATGCCTCAAATCTAAATGGACTCTATCTATCTGGAGAACATTCTTCACATGCTAATGGAGTGAACTGGTATCACTTTAAAGGTCATTATTACTCATTGAAAACCACAGCAATGATGATAAGAATATTAAAATAAAAAATGATGTTTTCGTTTCACTTGCATGAAATATTCATTAAAACAGTCTAGCATATTCCTCTTTTATGTATTATGCGTCCTTCCCTACATGTGCGAGTATATCATTTGTATATTGGCATTTTGGATTTCTTCTGAAGAACCCCCTTTTCGTGATTTCGGCAATCAATTATCTGCTTGATCCAGGATGCTTCTTCTTTTAAACTGAGTTTTACTGTGCGTATTGCTATGTGTTTCTTTATTCTACATTGGCTAGAGGTATAGGGGGAGAGTTGAGATCTCACAAAACATGTTTAACCCCGCCGCATTTTTGCGCCTGTCCCAAGTCAGGAGCCTCTGGCCTTTGTTAGTCTTGTATGTTTTTTAATTTTAGTTCATTTATATGTTTTGGAGTTTAGTGTGACGTCCATTTTCACTGATCTAGTACACAATTTTATTTAGGGGCCAGCTGAGGACCACCTCCGGGTGCGTGATTTTCTCGCTGCGTTGAAGATCCATTGGTGGCCTTCGGCTGTTGTCTGCTCTTTGGTCGGGTTGTTGTGTCTTTGACATATTCCCCATTTCCATTCTCAATTTTATTCTATTATAATGTTTGAGGAAGTTAAATGATAACTTGAACGATTGCGGTATTCAGAAGTAAGGAAAAACTGTGCTTGCTTCAGAAACGAACGCAAGAACATTTGTTTTAATTCCGATTTGTAAGTTAGAAATTTTGAAATCTTGTTGATAATTTTATATATGTATTAATAATTTGAATTTCTAAATTACAAAAATATGAAAAATGACACATTCATATCTATTTTCGGTTATGAAAAATATATGACCTGGTACAAAATGTACATAATAACACCAGAATGATTATAACAATCACAATGCGTATATCAAAGTACAGCCTATTCAACATTGTCAGTTTGTTTTAGACTTATGAATTTTAATGTCCTTTTGGTATCTTTCGCCTCTTTTTTTAGAACCTTTTTCTGCTGCCTTTAAGGTATGGGATTTGCTCAGTGTTGAGGGCCGTACAGTGACCTAAAGTTGCTTAGATCAACGTCATTTTGACTGTTGGATAGTTATCACATTATTTCATATTTTATACACAGATGCATGCAATCTTTACAAACATATATGTAAGTGTGATGTTAACACATATGCATAAACATGATACATGTTATAATAAACATGTGTATTGTTTTCTGACAATCCAGTCTGGTCATTTTTGCTACATGCCTACAGAACAATTATAATATTAAAGCTTGTGGAACTATCTTCTAATAAATATTAACTTGACAACTTCCAACTGTTCAAAGTTGGTTCACTTACTGATAATTTTGGCCCCAAAAAATCTGAAAATTTGTTGAAAACATATACACGTATTGAATTATTTAATTGCTTCAGTTCAAAAGGATTGTCATCAATGTTGTTTTAAGAGATGTATTTTACACGTCAAAAATGTAGATGAATTTCATTAAAACCTGATTTATTTTTGCAAAATTTGGCATAATTTTTTACGGTTTTCTAATCAATTAACATTGGCGCAACACCACGCACACACGTATGTTTGCTAAAATAATCATTATGTACCATATTCTTTACTTTTCTACCAAAATTTCAATGGTGGCGCTACATATGAAATCTTGGAAAAGCGCGAAAAGGATGACTAATTTCTAGAAAAATGAACAAAAATGACATCAATTCCTATTTCACGCTAATACATTTATAAATATAAAGCAGTTTTACAATTACTTTAAAAAATAACACATTCAGTAATTATGCATACACATTAGATTTAAGTTAATTAGGGTTATTGGCTCTACTCCTTTTTCATGGACGGGAAAAAGGATAATCCTCTCTCCAAATTGGTACGAGAAAAAGACCACCAAAGAAGTTGCCATCAAGTTAAAACATGAAGAAACAGAATCCATTTTGAGTTCAATGAAAAACGGTAAATGAACCCTAAAAACCATAAAAATTGATTCTTTTACTAGTAGCAAATAAAAATCGATACGTATTGTTGTGAATTTGGGGAGAAAATTAAAGGTCGTAACGAATTAAAAACGTTTGCATATTCTTCACCGTCAGGATGATCAATAGTCGGAGAAAATGAGTCAAACGACATAGGTTTCCACAAAGAGGATGATAAGAATTAACCAGGCGGAATGCTTAGCCATACACACGACGAGAACACATTAAAACTAAATATACAATAGATAAGTCCTGTTAAAGAGGCAGTCCGGGATGAAGGTCGGGAAAATTTGGGCTACCACTGGAAAATTATGGTATATTAGATAGGGACAGCAATTTTGCCTTGTAACGGGCCACCTACCGAACCCTCAAACAGTTGTTGCGAGGGTTCTTGCTGTGCAGAAAGCGTGGCACTCTCTTTACACGAGGCATCAGATTTTACGTCTCAACTCTGACCGGACGGTGCTGCGTACTTTTACATCCAGCACAACCAAACGGACGTCAAACTTTGGCGAGGGTTTTACTGCTGATCGGAAGAAGACCTGAGATAACCAAATTTCTATTCCCCAGTCACACCTGTCTACTTCTTAAATATTGTATGTTCGTTCGAGAGACGAATAAGAACATATTAATAAAAATGAAAAAGATTAAAACTGTTACCCCCACCATCGTTCAAAAACACGAAACATTAATTACTATGATTTATAATTGAAAAATATAAAACAAAAACAGATGAGTAATGTTAGTCTTCAAGGGTGCTATATACAGTGTATGCCAGAATGCTCATACTTAGTTAGACGTATAGGATAGACACTCTGTGTAAGATTATAAAAAGATATATATGTTTGTTCAATATCAAAATATGAACTTTATCTCGCATAGTGTCCAAATTGCTAAACATAGCCTGTTTGAACTGGAGGCATCCTTAGGAGTCATCTCAGTTTGTCATTGAATACTGCAGTTTTTATCTGCAAGAAAATCCGAGCATGTAAATTAACATTTTTTAAAAAGTCTACGGAAACTATATGCAACAATACAAAATACCAATTATTATATACTATACGTAGCTATAGAGATAAAAACAGTAAACGGAAAAAAGTATTTTAAATATTAAAATTTCCCTTACGGTCCTTAATTCTCACCAACTTATTAAAAACAGTATAGCAACAAAGGCTGTCAGGTGTAATTTTACCAATGCATAACAATTAGATGTATGTAAATATTAAAATATATACACCTACTAGATTTTGATTTTGATTTTTCTTACACACCTCCGTTCAAGTACAGAAATGAATTATAGGAGGAATCTTAAAAAATGTTATGACATGAACTGGGTTTCAACAATAAGACCAAGAAAACATCTGCCCAAAGATAAGTATAACGTTTATCTGCCACTTTTAAAGGATTTCATTACGCGAGATTTGATTTTTTGAAATTAAAAAAAAAAATTAACTGAAATGTCAGTCCCTCTAAAAGTTAAAATCTCTGTGGTCTACAGCAGATGCTTTAAAATAAAAGTTTAACAAAACAAAATGTCTGTTTCATTAGATCAAGTCTAACTTACTTGCGGAGTCTATAAAATTTTCTTGAAACTAGCGGGATACAAATTTCACAACACAAAATATAAAAAGTAAAGTATGTATATATAGTTTTACATAAAGAAGTATATAAATGGTCTAGCAATAATAATTCTTTATATTAATAAACTATAAATGTTTAAGTTTCAATACTCGTCGTGAACGCACCTAAATATAACTCACAATGCAAAAAGATTATGTGTGTTAAAACTACTTGTACCAAAATCTTTCTTATTCAAATATTTGAATAAATAAAATGAGTTAAAATTGTGTCTTTTTTAAGTTTTTGCAAAAAAAAAGCAAAACAATGGGTAAAACTCGACTTTCAGGGGCAACAATTCCTATGAGGGGTCATTTGTCTTTTTCCTCCATGTTGACTGATTTCGAGATCTTATTTTGCCGACCATTTTACTAGTTATAAACACATTCTATATGCAATTATTCATCCAAAAAATATAAAAACTGGTATAAATCATTCTTAACTCCACTAGGGAATAAATTGAGGATGTCAGCCATGCTGATTTTTTTATAGATCCTATTGTGCTGGAAATTTTTGCTGTTTATAGCTTATCCATTTCTAATAGTTTCTGCAAAGCAGATAAAAATCTTCTTTCAAGAACTTCTATAGAGGACATTGGCGATTTCGGCCATGTTGATTTTTTTGTAGATCTTATTGTGCTGAACATATTTGCTGTTTCAAGTTTCTCTCTATCATAGTTATTGCAAAAAAATCATAAATCGGTAAAAATCGTATGACACGGACACTAACTCATATAAGGGTCAATTGATGTTTACTGTCTTGGCTTAATTGTGTATTTTTTTGTTGTCGTTTTCTCCATCTATTATAGTTTTCATAATGATAACCAAAAACTGAGAAATAAAATAAAAACAACGGTCTTTTCAAGGCCAATAATTAGAAAATTAATTTTTTCAGAAATTTGTGAATAGGTAGACATAGGCCTTGATCTGCTGATTATTTTTATCTTCAATCAGTTGCTCTTACTGCCTTAGTTTTTGAGATATCAACAAGAACAGAAGTTAACTACTTTGTTTTATGTTCAGAAACAACGGTTGATGGATCAAATTCCTGGGTAAAATTTAAAACTAGATTTCCTACGGAAAATTCAGGTAAAGTTCGGGCCAGGTTAGCTAAAATACTATAGCATGACTACGGATGGAGTTAATTTTCTGCATAAAACTGACAAAATAAAGGAATTAAAGCAACAATAAAAATTAATTTAATAAAACGAATGGTCTTTTACACTAAATCCATTGAAAGTTGGATGTGTGCTGATTGATATTTTAGTCTTAGATACATGATTTTTTCATTAGTTGTTTTTGGTATGGCACTAGCTGTCAATAACTGCGAGTACTCTCAGATCTGTACTTAGTGTCTTTTTTTGTTGTTGTAGGGATGTAAAAATACCCTGCCACATCCGGTCTGTGTTTTTGTTACTTATTTTTTTGCTTTGTGTCAATCTAATGAGTTAAGCCCTTTTCAACACATTTTTATAGTTTGATCATATGCTGTACTGTTACACCACTGTCCCAGGTTAGAGGGATGGTTGGGCGCCCGCTTACATGTTTAAACTGCTATATTCTTTATGTGCCTGCCCTAAGTCAGGTTCCTGTAGTTCCTGGTTGTCGTTGGTTCATGTCTGTCATATTTGTTTTTCGTAAATTGGTTTATTATAAATTAAGCCGTTAGTTTTCTAAGTTGAACTGTGTCATGTTTTTCATGTCGGGGCCTTTTATAGCTGACTATACGGTATGGGTTTTTCTCATTGTTTAATGCCATACGGTTGCCTATAATTGCTTACATACAATTCATTTGAACTTTGGTGAATAGTTGTCTCAATGGCAATCATACCACATCTTTTTTTATTTTCATAAGCATTTGTTCTACTTTCATGAAACATATTAAAATGCCAATTTTGCAAACCAGAAACATTTTTATGTCATCTGTAAGAATCAGGGTCTTTTCTGCACGGAATCCTTGCGTGTCGTGAGTTTAAGAACTTGATTGCCAATCTGATTACCATGAGGTAAGAGAAGAAAAAGTTATTTAGGTAGCATTTAGTGCCAGGAATGACAAGCCCAGTCAGTGAATGTGTGGTCAATTTCACCAAAATTTGAGAAACATATAATGAAGAATATTCATTTCCAAATAATAAGATCACGGCTTTTACTGAACCAGTACACAATTTTATTTGGGAGCCAGCTTAGGACCACCTCCGGGTGCAAGATTTTCGCTGCGTTGAAGACCCATTGATGGCCTTCGGCTGTTATCTGCTCTTTGGTCGGGTTGCTGTGTATTTGACATATTCCCCATTTCCATTCTCAATTTTATTTTATTAATTTCATTTTGTTTTTCTATTTCTTTTTAAGCATCGTTTGTACGGGTAACTCTAGAGAGAGCCTTTAAAAGCATATTTAGTTTAAAATTCCGACCAAGCGAAACCTCACTGGTAGTCGATGTCGTTCAACATGCGTTACAGTAAAGTGAGTAGGGACAGTGTGATTTTCACATAACGGTTTTAGATTCCAAGGTTCAGCTAAGTGGTTTTCTATTACATCCTTTTCTGATAAATTGGTAAAAACAAGTTTTTCAGTTCTGTACGTAAGATGTCGATCTAATACTTATGTCAAGCAACTTCAACCAATCGTGTTAACTGCCTTATCAATTGGCACTAAAGTATATATTCAAAGTCATTTAGTTTAGATCTTCTTTTTGGATCTTTTGATATTCAGTCGCTACATAGTTATCTTTATAGTATGTAATACATTTGTCAACAATTTTTCCCAATTTATTCATGTTATTTTTATATAATTTAAATTTTGGATGTAACACGTCTTCTGATTGGCTGAAAGTGTTTTGTCTATCAGCTCATAGACATAATTTTGTCATGTGACCGTAACGTCATCAACGTTTTTATCATGATTTACGCCTTTTTAGAATTAAATTATAAGGAATGACTGTAATATTTTTTTCTGTCTATTCGAAATAACCTAATAAATGTGGTGCACACTTTTAAATAACCCGCTACGCGGGTTATTCAGTGTGCACCACATTTTTGATGTTATTTCTTCATAGACAAAAAAAATATTACAGTCATTCCTTAAATAATTTTAAAAAGCGTGTTTATTCGCCTTTTTCAGTTAGCACCATTACATGTAACTACATTCAACTGAAACAGAGTCAAAGATGTTTCTTCATCAAGCCTTCCAATCGATTTTAGACGGGGGTCAATATATTTGAAATTTCTGAAGTTGTTTTTGTTGAATAATATCCACATTACCGATTACAATATGACCATAGGGTTGGTGTATATAGTGAAATTGAAAAGTAACATGTTGTTAGATAAATATTCATGATTACACAAAATGGAATTCAATTTACCTTTTAATAACTTTTCCCGTTCTTTCCTTGACGATCTGACCTCTTTTGTATCTATTGTCATAGGTAGGGTATCGTGGCTTATTATTTCTACAAATATGATGAGAAATTTGAATCTTGAGTCAGAATTTAGAAAAGTCTACGATAGACAAAGAGTAAAAAGTCATTTACAAATATTAAAAGAAGACTGACAAAAGGTGTTGGAAAGCAAAACAAAAATGATATTAATCAAAAGAGCAATGAAAAGCCAAGTTGACTTAAAGATCATAGCTTGTCACAACGATAAATTCGCCCGTAAAACATACAATTGTAACTGAGAAATACTATCTTTTGTTAGACTTTCGCATTGTTATGATCGAGAAATATATTTATGCAGTCATATAATCTTGAAGGGTTGGCATTGTCTTCAAAGGTAGCGAAACAGTCGGATCAACTTGGAGTTAGACTTTAGGGAAATATTCTTTTAGTCATCAAGACCGTTAAATTTCTACATTGAAATAACACATTTAGTATTTTTGGTGCGTTTTCGGTATGATTATAAGCCTATGCATTCTATCTATCTGACTGCAGAACATGAGCAAGTACACATGTTTGCTTCACTCGCCCTGTTTCCATAAAGTCAAGATAAGTGTTCATGCAGTATTTACCACTACACAATCAATAATAATCCTTGAATGAAGACTGATGTCAACAAAAAGTCATAAATATTCAGTGACATAATCTATGGTACATGATGTGCGTAACAAAGTAATATATTTTAAGAATATACAATTTCAACACAGTTACATATCAGTTGATTACAATACATTAAATACTGTTTCAAATGGTAACGAGGAAAGTTTAAGTCCAATAAACCTTAGGAAGTGATATAGATACTTATTTATTCCCACGTTTGAAGAACGTAATTACAAAAATCATTTCGATTATATAAGTGTTCGACAATGTTTTATAAAATGATTTATATATAAATACATCCCATCACGAGTAAAAGGTGGTCAATGAGACTATCATTATCAGTAACTTGCAATTGACTAGCATAGCCAGTAAAGTTATGAGTAATCCGTGTTTTGTATTTAATCATCTCCTTGGTACCATTTTTCAGGTAATTGTGGGAATCATGTGTATATGAAATGTAAACGGAGTATTCATACATGGATAGGGTGATTTATTGATTTTTGTATAACGCCACTTTCAGCACAATTGGATAGTTTGTGTCGGTCAGTTTTTATTGGTGGAAGAAGCCGCAGTTGCTGGAGAGAACCATCGACCTTTGGCAGGAAACTTAAAAGTCCTTGTAGATTCAGATTGGAGTCGAGCGCACCTGCCACGTGCTCACGAGCTAACAACTCCAGTGTTGACAGTCTAGTGATATAGTTGTTATACTAATTAGACCACATGAATAGAGATACAGAAAGCTTTCAATGACAGTAAATTATTTCATATGTGATATTGCCCATATTTTTTATTAAAAAAGTTTTATGAAAACTGTTTTTTATTTCAAAGGCCCAAATGATACTTTGAATAAATGTTTGGAGGAAAGATATGAATAAACAGAAAGTAATAGTAATAAGTATCATATCACTCTCTTAAAAACATTGAATAACAAAAATAGACAAACACAGCAGACAAATCATTACAAAGAAAATGAACATTCCAGAAAATTGAAGCGAACAAAAATCATTGTTATGTCTATTGGAAAATTATAATAGGCAGAGAACTCCAATTTCATCTATGCAAACCCGTCGTATTAATTAGGCATCCCGATTACGAAATTATTACCTTTTGTATACAGAAGGTTGCCTGTAATGAATATATATCTACTTACCTATGCAAAATATATGACTATTTTACTATTTTCACATACTTAACAAGTCATGATCATGAAATGTTGGTGGCCTTTGACAATTACTGTTATAAGAATACGAAAAGAGAGGCAAAAGATACCAAAAGGATACGCAAACTCATACCTTAAGTCGAATACACACTGACAATGCCATCGCCAAAAATGAAAAACTATGAAAAGACTAACATTATACAAAATACAACATAGAAAACTTAAGACTGAGCAATACGAACCCCACCAAAAACCGGGGTGATATCAGGTGCTCCAATATTGTGCTCCAAACATGGCACCCATCGTGTTGATCGTGTAAGTACACACCCGATCATAAGTCTATTTCGGTAGGTCACATTCGAGGATACGAGGACGGGATCATGGAACATCTGTGAAACAGATATTCCTTAACGGTCAACCAACTCGTGACGGCGTCCGTAAAATTTTTGAAGGGATGATTTCAACTTCACCACGTGGAACTTGTTTTAATCTAGAATGAGTTGAAATTAGGAAAAGCTATGAATTCACGTTGACCGTTAGTCTAAAGTTTCCGTTGATTTTTGAGGTGAAAGATTCGATAAGATTGACATTACGGCACATACAAATATTACGAGAATGATAATTAAAGGACGAATTCACAAAAAACGATCCCAAACAATACTGGGGACTTTTCGTTTGATTCACCTCTTAATCTGTTATAGTGGTGTAACACCACAACATACATATTTTTAAGTATTGCTCTGGTCTGCTCACGGGTAAGTGGACTTTTTGTTAGATGTATTTCTGCTTTGTATCGATCTGATGAGTTACTGTGGATTCATATATTTTCGTGGATACTAATTTTCATGGATTAAGAAAAACTTAAGGTTTCGTGAATATTTGATTTCGTGGCTTTGCCAAAGTCTGCATACAAGCCTATAGAAAATTTGTAACTCGTTGAACATTTAAATTTGTGGTTCAATTGTACCCACGAAATCCACGAAAATTGGTATCTCTTGAATAATAATGAATCCACAGTAAGCCTTTTTCAACTCATTTTTGTAGTTTGTTCTTATGTCGTACTGTTACACCACTGTCTCAGAATAGGGGAGGGGCGGCGCCTTCAAATTAAACTACTAGTGGTTTAACCCCGCCACTTTGTATATATGCCTGTCCCAAGTCAAGAGTCTGTAATTGAGAGGCTGTCGTTTTTTGTTGTTTCTCATATTTGTTATTCGTTTATTGTTTTGCATAGTTGTTCTTGTGTTGTGCTGTTACACCACTGTCACAGGTTAAGGGAGGGTTGGCGCCTTCAAACTAGTTTAACCACGCCACATTTTGTATGTCCCTGTCAGGAGCCTGTTAATCAGAAGTTGTCGTTTGTTGCTATATATTATATTAAGTTTTGGTTTTTTTTTTTTTATTATTTTGTTAGTTTTCTCGTTTGAATTGTTTTACATTTGTCATTTCAGGGTCTTTTATAGCTGACTATGCGGTTTGGGTGTGCTCATGGTTGAAGGCCGTAATGTGACCTATAGTTGATAATGTATATGTCAGTTGGTCGCTTGTGGAGAGTTGTCTCATTGGCAATGATACCACATCTTCTTATTTTTATTTTTGCTTGTGCTTTGCATTCATTTATGAAACTATAAAATGTCAGTGTTAACATACCGCATGCAACTATGAATATATTATGGGATGCCTCGATGGCGGAAAAGTCTAAAAGTTATCTATAACAGCGATCACTAGCTTGTCAACATTGAGGTTGCGAGTTCGAACTTCGCTCGTTGTAGGTTCGTTAGAATCCGCTTTAAATTGACAATGATTGCTAGTTTTTCCTGCCGACGTTCAGTGGTTCTCTACTGAGACTCAAGCTTTCTCCACTAATGAAAACTGGCCACCACGATATAGCCAAGAGTGCTAAAAGCATTGCTATACACAAAGATTCAATCAATCAATCTATTATGGTATATGTTGTAGAAAATTGAATAAAAGATATTTATTACATTGTTAAAAGGCAAACGATATTTCTGTCAAAAACCAAAACACACCTGTCTACATGTCTGGTCTGACTCGTCTTCAGAAGTTGTCAACTTTAGACCTGTACATAGGTCTGGTCTGTAGTAGACAAACCAACAGCACTGGAAAAGTCATAAAAAGCTGACATAGGTATGAACTACCACAGAGACATTTAACCTCTTTTTCTGCTATAAATATATTAAGATAAATTTGAAAGCAGTCAAAATCCCTGATCAAAGCGATCTTTTGCATAAGTTATGAATGCACCTATCTATGGATTAGAAGTGATTAACCTTGCCAAAACCTATTTGCCTCATATAGTATAGATTTAAAGCAAATTCCAGATTGAATCTGTAATTTGTTCTTGCATTCCAACAGTTTCAGAAAACATTTGAAGAATTTGGATATTCGAATTGTAAACTTCATTATTTAATGATGTGGTCTAATTTACCTTCTAATGACTTTTTGAATTCTGGTTCTTCCCATTTTCTTGTTAACTTCGGATTACCAAACATTTGAATATACGCAGAACCACCGGGTTTTTGTAATCGTTCTGAAATATAATTAAAAATGAAGTGAGCGAGATCAAAGAAATAACACCGTACCTGGTTCGAAGTCACAATGTACCCGTTGAAACTTGAAAAATATGAAATAACTCTGATATACTTTATTATTGCTACCAGAGAAATTTCCCTAAAGCTCAATTCATTCATACAAAATCTAATATATATATATACACTCCTTGATATTAGAATTATGCATTGTAATCTTCATATTAAAGTATATAACTTAAAGGACGACTTTTCCTTTTCTTTGTTTAAAATCATTGACCTCGCTTATGCAGTCTACATTTGTCAGTTGATTCGATTTGCACGTGTTTCAATGATGTAATGTTTTCATTACAAAATTCTTATTACATAAGACACATGTCACAAATGGACTAAAACACTTTCTTAATTGTAAAAGAAAGAGGCTCCTAAATTTCTAAATCCCCCCTTGCAATTCTATGGCATTTTTATATTGATTTAAACCCTTGATGCAATCGACTTTATCTCTTCATTTTTTTTCTTTTCTCTCTTATGTATTGTATTTTCAAGACAATATAAAAAAATTCAGAAAAATTGGTAAAAACTGGGGTCATAACTCCAACAAGGAGTCAAAGAGAGGCGAAGGATACCAAAGGGACATGAAACTCACGAGTCGAAAAAAACTGACAACGCCATTGCTAAAAAAGAAAAAGACAAACAACAGTACACAAAACAACATAGAAACCAAAGACTGAGCAACACGATCCCAACCAAAAATAGGGGGTGATCTCAGGTGCTCCGGAATGGTAATAACTCCAACAGGGAGTCAAATGACGATTTTGTAATTAGTCATGTTTATTTGTAGATCTTATCGTTCTGATAATTTTTGCTGCTTATAGTTTTCCTCTATTTATCATAGTAAGGTAGATAATTGCCAAAAGCGCATGAAGTTGGGAAACATTGTCAATAAATAGCAAGATAAGGTTTGAATGACAGATTCCTTTATTTATTTTATTTGTAAATCATTACTTTCTAGAATATAATTATTCTGTTTACATATTTTCTCTCTATAATATAATTTCGAAAATAATAGCAGTGGTAAAATATTATTTTAGGGCTATAACTCCGAAAAGAAGTCAATTAAAAATTTAGATGATTTTGACAATATGTAGATCTTGTCTTGCAAATCATTGTCACCGTTATATTTTTTTTCTGTCTATTAATATTTCCAAGAAAATAGACAAAAAACACATTAAATTAAAAATAATCAATGCAAGGGTAATACGTTCTTTCAGGAGTTCATTGGCAATTTTGGTCATATTGATTTAGTTGTAGACCTTAACATGTTGATGACTTATGCTGTTAAAAATCTCTCTGTGTTATAGTTTTCTTCAAAAACCGCAAAAAATGGCAAAACTTGTTCATGTTGTAATTAAAGCAATAACTTCTTTCGGCAGTTTATCGGTCATATTGACTTATTTCTAAATTTTAAGTTACTAATCGTATATACTGTTTATAGTTCTCTCTGTTATTTATAGTTTTCAAAATAATTGCCAAAAAAAAGTAAAAATTTATTAAATATTGTCATTTATAGAATACAACTCCTTTAAAGTTATTGTTTCAATGCTGTTCAACTTTGACCTCCCTAATGTGTTGATTCAAACACCACTGATGCGTTTTATGTAGACGAAATGCGCGTCTGGCGAAAATATACCAATTTATACATTGTACGCTTGGTATCTTTGATGAGTTTTTAAAGAATCGATTGGCAGTTTTTAGTCATGTTGATCAATATTTGTATATATTTTCTTGACGATATATTTTGCTGTTTACAGTTTTCTATTATATCTTTTAACGAATAGAAAAAACAACTCAATGTTTTAGCAAAACGCGTGATTCAAGCTTAGGCAATAACTCTTTAAAATAACTCTTTTTATTAAGATAATTGAAAAGAAAGGAAGGAAGGAAATTTGTGAAAAAAAGGCCTTCAAGGGAAATTACTCCTATGAGGAGTCTAATAGATTTGTAAAAAACTAGAATAAGGTTGCACTTAATATTCTTAACATCTCGTTTCAGTGTTTTACATTATGATATCACACTGAATATTATGATATCACGCTGATTATAATGATCAACCTGTTTGCCTATAGTTCCCTTTTACCAGGTTTAGGAGTGGACGGTCAAAATTGTTTCATATGTGAACATTTGATTGACCATTTTCATGTAAGAAAGCTAATTTTCCCTCCTAGCATGCGTTGTTATCTTTAATATGGAAATATGCATCGACCAAAATGCAACCTAAGAGCTGTACTTTGATATATCAAACAATGAACGTCCCTGGCTAACATATATACATGGGCGTGTTGGGTAACAAGGAAGTGAAAATTAAATCATTTAGAAAGCAAACATCTTTATTTTGTTGTCGCATAATAAGGTTTCAGATAATAATAAAAAAAGGAAAAGTAAAATACATTTGACAATGATTTGGTCAACATTTCTTAAGAAAACCAGAAGTACTAAATTTTTCTGTTCATGTTACAAGATTTTACATTGCTTTTGCATTTAGTTCGACTATTTACTCTTTTTCCAGTCATAACCATGCTCATGCATTGTTAGTCAACCCTTCTATGGGGTTGATATTTAATTATGAAGCCCCTATTGATATATTGTTTATATTTTTATGAATTTGTGGTGTCGCTTTTAATGTTTAACTTATATTTCTGTATAGTACGTTGTAAAGTGCCACTATAAATACAATAGTTTTTTAAATGTATTTCATATTAAACATAGCATTGTTAGCACTATCACACTTACATTTCTCGCCATATTTTTATGAAATTTATATCATAGGTTTATATCAGAAATGTTTTAGAAGAGTTTGATTTATGAGTTTGAATTTCCCCTTGGTATCTACCGTATCTTTTTTGTCAATTTGTAAGGTTTCAAAATTTGTTTGAATAACATTTCCCGCATTTCCGGAGCATATACGAAAATTGGTCTAAAAACACTACATGAAGTGTACTAACTTGATATAACAATACCAACATGTTTTGTAGGAGTATAACGACGGGTGTCGAATTTGGAGCAGAATATGCTAACCTATTTGTAGCTAATGAGATCACTGTGGGTCCTTGGTTTGAATCGTTTGTTCAGATTTTAGTTTCTATGTTGTGTTTAGTGGAATTGTTTGTCTTTTCGTTGTTTTTCTTTATTTCAATGTTTTTGTCAGTTTCATTTATGTTTTAAATGCCCCCTTCGTCTATTTTTAGCAATAAACTAAGTGAATGTGTGTGTGCAAGATTAATCAAATCTTATGAGAAGATTTTTAGAAACTTATCTGTGCACACTAGTTGAATTCATTTGTTAAATATCAAATATTTTGTTTGGAACATATTAACTGCGTTTCCTACTTAACGATTCTTGCAATCTTCCCATCTCGTTGATCTATACGATGTGTCTGTGTCTAAACTAACTAATGACATTTTTACCACGTCTAAAGTTGCGGTTTAACATCTATGTCGTCTGTCTGCTAAGTACTGAACGTGACATATTCCCGAATATGACTGTTATACCGAGTGTGAATATGCATTGCTTTACGACGTGTCTCGGTATTTTGTACATCAAACATTCATGTATTTTTTTTTTTTATTGTTTCTTTTATGGTTTCGGTTGGATAATGTGTTATGTCTTATCGTTTGTATTCCAAATAATTATAAAATAGCCTTTCAATACCATCATTGTCATGAAAATTGTTTGGACTGGTATTGTGAAAATAATTGTATAAAGTTCGAGATTGCATGTTCGTTACGTAAGTGCGTCACTGTTTGTGATATCCTGTGGTGTCTGTCGTTTTTTATGTTGATGGAAGATGTTCGTTGTTGTTCTGCAGTTTGCATGATGTGTCGACTATTATATTATTTGTTTGTGCGTTTCTCTGTGATGAGTGTTCTTGCGTATGTTTGTGCTGTATTTCTGTCACGTAGTGTTGTCATTTAAGCGATATTTGTTAACCTTGTCATATAAGCGGGAGGTTTGGCTAGCCATAAAACCAGGTTCAACCCACCATTTTGTCTTAAAATGTCCTGTACCAAGTCAAGAATATGGCAGTTGTTATCAAATAGTTCGTTTCTATGTATGTTGGCGTTTGTTTTGGTTGCACTTCAGTGTTCCCAGTGTTTCTTTGTTTTCCTCTTATAGTTTATGTGTTTCCCTCGGTGTAAGTTTGTAACCCGGATTTGTTTTCTCTCAATCGATTTATGACTTTTGAACACCGGTATACTACTGTTGCCTTTATAAGATGCATTCATTTTTTCGATATAATTGCTTCGTCTGAACAAAAGCCAAACAATGTATGATATGCATATTTGCGGTTGTAAATTTTTAATTTTCCCTCAATGGGATTGGAACCCATGCTCCTGTGACATAGTTGCAACATTCGGCACTGTGTACCACTCGGCCAACTAGGATATATACATGATTTCATTCGTTAGTCGAGTAATTTTTGTAAAGATAATACAAGTATGCTTTTTAATTGGTATTCCGCTGTATCAGTATTATTTTCTATTTCTCGCGATGGCATCCATGTTGGATGATTGGCTAGGACAAAAACAAAACTTGTCATATTGCAAAATCCTAGGTACTTTATTCATATGATTTGCACCACGTGACTTTGGCCCTTTTGGTTAAGTTACTTCCCTTAGTTGTAGATTGAAAATATAAATCATATCAAATTTGCGGATATATCAGTCTTTTTCCGTTTTGGATCTAAAACTAACGTGTCTTTAAAAACTTCCTCTGGCGGATATTTACAAAGAAATAATTTTGTGTAATTTGAAGAACAAATGATTAAAATTTTACTATTTACGGAATTGGAAGGATGGAATCATCATGTTTTTAAAAGAATTTGGCCGAAAACTTAAGAAAGCAGGTGAGATAAAAGTTATTTAACCTGAAAATTCAACCTGCAAGGTGTTTCCCTATATGCGGACAAATCATGAACAATGCCTTCTTGTATCTTTGTTTCTATTTTGAATCTTGCTTTTTCACGAAAAAACGTCATTTTAGATAGCAATAATACTACGGTTACGCTTTCGGTTTTCAAACTCAAAAGGCCGAAAGTTGTGAAAGTAGACAATGTTCATTTGTACTCGAATAGAAAGCAAACAACATGTACAATTCACCTAAATGCGGACAAATTGTTGATTCGACTTGGGAATTGGCATATGTGCATTTTATTTATGGGGCATATATAATCCTATTGTAATGGCTGTCGTCATAATAAGGCAATATGGCCGCTATGCAAATTAGCAAAGTACGCCAAATTTTGCCATATGTGTATAATACACATTATAACTGTCCATTAAAATTAGTGGTAGTAAAGTCCTCGCATGGCCAAATGCACTTGTAAAAGTAGTTTCATCAATCAGTATATGTTTAATCAATCATTTTAAATGAAATCTTAGATCCATTTATCGAATTTGAAGAACTTGGTACGTGTGCTCGCATAGCAGTGCATTTATTTACAATGTTTCCTTAAAACGGTTCTCGATCATAATATGTTATAGAAGATATTACTTAAACTTTTTTGTTTGGTGTTATTGATGAATTTTGTTCCAAAACGGTCAATGTTTTAACATTTACTTCTAAGCCGATAGTGGTTTGTTTATTGTCTTTATATACTATTAAAGACCTTGAATACAATTATTTATTTATATCTGTGTTTTTAAACTTTGTCGTCATCGTTAAGTTATAACGTAGATTCTTGTCCTTTCAAGAGCATGTCTGAACAATTGTAGGTCCTGTTATTATTTCAAACTTATCTAGAATCGAAAATTAAGAGACTTCTTTTATTGCTGACCACCACAGTGTTTTCTTGTATTTGTGTGTTGTTGTGTCAGGCATAATCATGTCTCATGGTCGAGCGTTCCTGAAAAGGGTGACTCCAGAAAAACTCTTCGGAGGCATGAAATGGATAAAGTGTAATTTTCATTTAAACTTAAGTAGTTCATAAGAAATCCATACCTAGACCTAGACTGCCTGTTAGACTAGATTTACAACTGTCATAAGATGAACGGATGCTACCTATTTTCTCTAAAACTACAAGAAATATTAAAATATTCAGAATAATCGTTGTGGAATTCGGGTTTTATTAGGTCTGAAATAGATTTTTTTATCATAATAAGAAGTAAAAGCAGAAGAATCAGTAGCATCAATAATTGTGATAATATTAAGTAGAAGTAGTAGCAGAAATAGTTCTAAAAGTAGTAGTAGCAATAGTAATAGAAGTAGTAGTAGTAGCAGAAGCATAATTAAAACAAGCAATAGTAGTAGTAATAGTAGCATTTCTAGTATCAGAAGTTGTAGGTTGTAGCAGCAATAATAATAGTAGTAGTATAGTAGAAGTAGTAGTAATAGTAGTTGTTGTTGTAGAAGAAGTATTGGTAGAAGTTGTAGTAGTATTAGAAGTAGACACGCAATAATAGCAGGAGAAGTCGTAGTAGTTGTAGTTTACTGGCTTGACCCAGTAAATAAAAAAAAGCGAATAGGTTTATGGAAACATATACAATCAAAAGCTAGCTTTTATTCTACAACCAACCAAATATGCAGTGAAAAACTGAAACATATAAAGAAATCTAATTTAAATTTAATAAATGTTAATATAAATGAAACGTCATCTATGGAATAATGGCGCATTCTTATAATTGAAAGCAGTGAATATTCCAAAACACAATAGATTTAATTTGAAGGCATTAAATACAATTTTATTATGGTTACTTTCACTGTAGTAAGCCAGATAGTGTGTACAAGAAGGCTTTTTATTCAAAAGAATTCAATCCTGGCAGGTACATAGATATCTTTTCCGATTTTCCGAGCTGATCTGAGATCAAGATGAAGTTGGTTTCTGCATCAACAACATAGCTGAAGTTTTCTGAAGTATGTTGATACTTGTACCAGATCTCGGGAATTTATTATTGCTGAATTTTGAAAATTCCGACATGAAAGTGTTGATATTGTCATCCGTTAGGCTCCTTCCGGTGTTTTTTACGAGCATGAAGCCCAATTTTTATCCTGGCGACACCTATCTTTCTGTCCCAGGCTCCACCCTTTCAGAACAATTGCAGTGAATAAAACATTCATGTAGTACTGTAACTGTACCAAAAGTTATTGAAAGATTCATCCGGAAAGTTTATCGATTCGATTCTAAAGATGTTGATTGCTGTCTGAAACCTTCAAATGACATTGATGTTAAGCTGGTGATTATTTCCTCGACCAGTTCCACGTGAACAGCTCTTTTCACTAGCTATATATATGGGTAACTGAGCAGAATCGCCCAACGTTATGCATAAGCGTTTCCATTACAATGTTAGTAACAGAGATTACGATTCGAGACTTGCTTTGGCACTCTGCCTTTCCTTTCCTGTGAGTTTGGAACATGTCACATTTTTCTAAATAATATTCGATATCAATCAGGCGTTTCGCTCCAATGATTCTGAATCATGTGAATCTAATCGCTCAAACTGTTAAGTTGGCCTTTGTTGTTTGATTTTGTCATGGTAGGGTCGAATAATTGTGTTTTATATGATTGCGTCTAGATAATATAGATATTGGGCTTCGCTTCGGAATTGGTTCCTATCGTCGAATTTTATATATTTCTTCTCTTCAAACATTTGATTGGACTGACTTATGAATAAAACTTTCGGCTCTAAAAAACCTCTACAGAAGTCACTGAATCTGATTTTCTTCACCCATCTATACCGGAGAAATTGCCCAGAAGGCAAACGCTCGCATAAGTGCTGTTCAGTTAGGGAATTGAAGGAATCTATCAATACCGACACCTTTACGCTTAGGTACAGCATATATCTTTGCAATATAGCACGGATTTCTCGGTCGTCATCTGGATGAACGAAGAGATGTTCATTGTCATAAGTTTATGTCTGTTTTTGATGTAATAAATTGTTTAGGTCCTAGTACCCACTCGGTTATATGCTTCTGTGAACAGATCTGTCACTAATTTTGCAAGATAAATATTTGTTGGTACGAAATTCCATTGACTCGAATGTGTACAGCTATAATCGCTATCAGATAATCTCTCAAGATTCCCATACAGTAGCTATCTCATCAGACACGGACTACTTTGTACAGGTTTAATGTCCGCTCCAAAGTCTAGGTTTGAAGTCAAATCGCTAGCCATAAATGCTGCCACACCTTCTACGAAATTGTGTTAAAGTCAACAGGTGGCAAAAACGCATTAATTTTTATTAAAAAATCTCTTTATACATAAAGGACATCTATAGTTTGATTATGTTTAAGGCAGGTCGCTCGATTCCGGTATAAATTGGTGATTGTCAAATTTTTGCATACGCTGATGCTGCTTTTCTGTTATCCCAGCCGTCGTATACTGGTGTTGTCTGATGTCGCTGCCGCTTCTCTTTGTGTGAAGAAGGTTCAATGCGGCCTTAAGCTCGATTTGTTACTGGACTGCACCTGAGGTTCTTGTAAGATAAGGATGCGTCACTTCTTCCAATAAATGCAGAATACGGGAAGCCTATGTTAAATCTCTGTTTAGTAATAAAGGTAATGTTACTTCTCTATCTTAGCTTGTTTGTTTAAGGATCAGGGCTTGTTTATCGGGGAATTAATATTTTGCTATAGCAGCTTATGATTTAGCACACTAACTTCGTGCTCAATGCTTTAGACTTTGATGATTTTGTTTTTGAAGACTAATCGTTTGTCAGAGTAAGGCATTTTAATAAATAGTTTTGCTTTGGTCAGACTGCTCTTTGATTAGGACTTTCTTGTGTCAATGTCCTTTAGACTGTCCAGCGTTCTGGTTCTCTTCCGAAAACCTTGATACTCATCTACGAAACTATGAAACGTTATGTAGTAATGTATTATACTTTCCTGTCCTGTTAAAAGTTTCTGGAGCGTCTCTACCCCTTGTAACTGGAGTTCTACAAAGTTTTGGGGTTTTATCTTTTGACAGAACTTGTCACAGTTCTGCTTGTACATGTATGCTCCTTGACCTTTTTTTAATAGGTCACGTGTACGCTTAGTTTATTGTTTTGTTCTGGTTTGTTTTATCTCAGTGCTCAGTAGCTATATATATATAGGATGATCCACAACTTCTCCGATGTCTCCAAAGTGGCACTAGATGGCGTTTTTGCGTTCCGCTTGGTCAAATTTCATTATGTTGATAGACTGATTATACTTAGTAAGGTTAACGGGTTGCCAATTTTTGTTCACTGTCCATTTATCAATTTTCTGTATGTCGCGAAATAGCATATTCTTGAAGGGCACAGCAGGGAGGTTTTAAGTTATTTTCAATGACTTAGAATGCCTGACATACAAATGTAGTAAGATTAAATCACCGATCAAGTTTAATGAGAAATAATAAAATCAGGAGCTAACATTTTTGTTCATAACCAATCCCAAAATGCGGTTAAAAACTGAATATAGATAAAGGAAAAAGCAACTAAACAATGTGATAAATAAATTTTCATATATAAAAAGTGTAAGATATCAAATAACGACGTAGCCCAATAAGTGATAATGAGGTTTACACAACCAAAACGGAGAAAATTCCTGTAAAGCATGGATAAACATTCCAAACCAAGTAATTTGGGGGCATTAAATGCAATGTTATGATCATAGAATCTCACAATGTTGTAAACAAGAAATTGTGTAGAAGAAGACGTCTGCTTCAACAAGGTTTACTCGTGGCACGGTTGCTTACGAATTCTAAAAAAACAGGTGAGGAAGCTACATTTAGTATAAAGATATTGTTACATGTAAGTAATGTTGAGATTTATTTCAGGAACTCACTAACTAATCCTGAATACGATAAAATAAAGAATAAAATATAAACAACAAAACATTTAGTAGTATTAAAAGTAGAAGTAGAATTAGTAGAAGTAAATATTTACTGTTGGGCTCCAAAGAAAAAGACTACATATCATAGTGTTAACCTTTAGCCGTGATCTCGAAATAAGGGTGACAATGTTAGCGCTAATAAGTATAACAATGCTAAGTTTATGTCTCGAAATGGGATAAATATTTTCATTTGAATAATTGTCAATGATATCGCACACTTTTGTCAGTGGCGGATTTACCTGGGGGGCATAGGGGGCACGTGCCCCCCCCCCCCTGTCGCGGTCACCAAACAATTTTCATACATATAGTTTTATTGCTACTTTATCTGCTTATCTAGATCGAAAATCAAGACACAGGCTTGATTTGACTTCCTAAACTGGTCGTTAATTGACCCCAGCTTCAACATGTGTGATTTATAACAACTTATCGATGGGTGTGTAAATATTGACACCTTTGTGTAATGTCTTTATCCAAAAGCATTTATGTAAACTATATGTACATGTACATGCTGTTTGGAATTAATACGAATATATTTATTGGTTTCTAATACAATATTACAGGATCAAGATCGATTAACAAGTGAAATCTTCTGATCAGAAAAGAAATTACCAACTAAAATCGGTCTTAAAAGAATATGTAAAAATAGATGTTTAGTGTCAAGAATGTTAGTATCGATATGAGATACGTCTTTTTTACCAAACACTCACATTGTATACGGTTTCTGGGGAATGTGCCTTTCTCAGAACAGTCTTTTTGGACTTAATTAAACAACAAACGATTTTTTACAATGCATACAGCATTTTATTTTAAACTGAATGTCGTGTTTTTTTCACTTATTTTTTTTTATGGAAACAAAACCTTCCACAAAACTTGAATGGTCTGTGCCTTATATAAAATCATTAATAAAATGATTTTGTATCTTAGAAACCCTACTTATATTTGAGATGAAGAACAGCAATAAAAGCTTTTGTGTCATGGATGGATACCCCATATCCTTTCTTTTTCTATTATAGTACTGTAATATGTGTATATTTTTCTTGTTTTAAATACCATGTATGAGGGTAAGAATATGTTACCGTAAATGAGGGTATGAATGGTTTACCGTGAATGAGGGTATGAAGGGGGGTTTACAGATTAGGGAATAATGGTCAAAAAGTTAAGGCTAGAAAAAAATGGGCCCAAAAATATAGAAAACAGATTAAAGCTGTGATGAACTGTAAAGAATAGAGGACAATTGGCAGCAAATAAAAGAGTAGAAAGAAATTGACCCAAAAATAATGAAAAGATATTAAAATGAAGACCCGACCCCCTATCCCATCCACAAAACGACCACCATCATCCCCAATACATGACATCAAGACCACCCACACTCGCATATATGCATATATAAAAAAAATCTTTAATTTTGGTTTCATGGTGCTTCTTTGATTGCTCTTTTTAGTCTTATATACTTGTAATGTATACATAAGACATGCTGTTATACTTTTTACAAAATATTAATAACTTCATTGTGCAAAACATTTGTCCAATTCAGCCACACCGATGCTTTTGAACAGACTCATAACGATGCAAACATTTGTTTGGAGTACTTAAATTTTAAAAGAGAGGGGAACACGTTAGTGGCATCAACGTTAGAAGCTTAAAGCCAAGTTAAACAACAATGTGGTTTGTTTGTTAAAACGGTTTATAATTAACTGAAGAATAAAAGAGTAAAATAGCTTTTATGTTTCTTAGATCACCACAGTAATTTTATCTGCCTTATTCTTATTCATATTCCTATTCCCGTCGGAGTCTTACAATTATTGCAAATCTCTTGTAGTAATAGTTGTGTCGTAGTAGCAGAAAAGTAGTAGTAATAATGGTAGTTGTAGTAGTTTTAGTATTAGCAGAGTAGTAGTAAAAGCGTCAGCAGAGGCAAGAGTCATAGTAGTATACGTAGTTGTTGTAGTAGTTGTAGTATACGTAGTTGTAGTAGAAGTAGTCTTGTAGTAGAAGTAGTCTTGTAGTAGTAGTAGTAGTTGTTGTAGTAGTACTAGTAGTGTTGTAACCTTTCACTGTTTTATCCATCAGAGAGTGGTGTTATTAAGCATTAGAATAGTTTGAATCCTTTTTTAATTTACACAAAACAATATTTGAGCACCGTACATGTCTGGCATCCCCATGAGATACAATGTAAAGAAATGCTCATGCAACATCCTCATACCGGATTGTGTAAAACAACATCAAAATTACAATAAATCCTTTGTAATAACATTTGTTTGATTCTTCAGACAACATATCTTGGTCAAGGAAATAAAAACGAATATGTAATGGATGCTAAGTACGCATTTATGATGATTCAATATAAACATACCCTAACAAGACATAAAATATCCAGATGAAAGAGCGCAGATGATAAAATTATAACTTATTTTCAACTAAATAGAATATTTTTTTATAAATGAAAATGAATTAGCACTTCAACTCTTCATAAAATGCCAAATCAAGAGTTTGAGGACTATCAAAAAGAAACGAAGGTAAAATGTTTTGCCGAGTTGCGATTTGAATGAAAATATCAACATGTCTTTTTCTTTCAATTGTATGAAAACCTGCACCGTAGGAAATGGTTACGACTTGGCAAAAAGCAGGATTAAGTTATTGGCTTTGCCAAAAAAATCATTTTTAGTCTGCAGTTATGCCGATCCTTTAAAGTAGTAAGTTAAGCACCTTTTCTTGATTTGGCACTCAAGTAAATCGTTCATCATTCGACTAATTTTCACAATTTGAACTCTATCAATCAATTAATGAGCACCTTTCTAATAATTTTCTACCGCTTAGCTTTTAGATTCAGTACGTTTTGTGTGAATTTTATTAATTGACAATAAACGTCTGATTCATTTAAACACTTTGAAACTTCTTTTGTTAGGAATCAAAATATTACCCTGTACAGATCATTTATCAATGATACTACTATCGATGGCACTCGTGGTATAGATTCACTTAATTTACATTTGGTTTGCATGTTTACTTCGCAAAGATGTTAATGAGTAATGACAAATTATAACTAATTCTGTAAGCATTTGTGCATATTAAAAATGCCTTAAATTGCTTAAATCTGCAAAATTGATAAGTTTTGGCAAATTTTAATTTTCTAAAGCAGTGTTTAATTCATGTAGAATATTCATCGAAAATCAAATTATATCAGAAGTAAAGGTATGTATTGCCAGGATCGTTTCATTTTGTATATGTATTTCCTTTCAAATCAAAATCATTCGGATAAGGGTTATCCTTCGATGTATTTTTTTTTACATGCAATAAAGGCAAAATTGTCTTTAAGACCAATCTGATATAAATGTAGCGTTGCCTACCATTGTGATTTTACGGAAATAATATAATATAATGATGCATATGACGAGTGTTTAATGTATACTTTGCAGCCTCTTTTATATTCAATTTCAAGTTAACAATTTTGCGATTTTTACCCTGTGATGAAAAATATAATACAGTCAATACTGGCCCTACTGCTTTCAGTTTCGAGCGAAGTGTCAAATGTGTATTATCAGGTTACATTTCTGTGCAAAGATCATTGCTTAAATCAATGAACAGACATTATTTTCAAAGAGAATATACATGTGTCTGGTGTAAAGCAAGATAATTCGTCAGAATGGTGACGTAACTTCTAACTTTACACTCTACATCTATTTTTGTAATTTGGTTGCTGTCTCATTGACGTAAAATCATCATCTGGTTTTATTCAATATCGTTATATATCATTGACCAGTGTTTTCAGTGAAATGAGCCAATAAACGTCGACTTTTTTTTTCTCGATGACATAAACAAAATCCAACAAATTTCTAGTTTATTTTTTTTGTCTCAGGATTTTCATTCCCCGTCATTTTATTCCGTATCCAAACTGTAAAAGACAAACCATCCTTCATCTTGTAACGCTAAGAAGACATTCTATTTACAATAAATTTTGTTTTAGGATAAAATAAGGGCTTGATTCATCAAACAAGTGACGCGCACCTCTTTCATCTTTGATATGTATGAATTTTATACAGCTCGCATTAGTTCGCAGACAAAGTAAATATGAGAAATCCAATGCTTTATAAATACACTGATAGGAAAGGTCTTTTTTTTTTAATACGTATCTGACCATCCTGTGTATGCGTTATTTTGACGACCACAAGTGCATACAGAGTTTTAACATAACAACTGCAATTGAATAGTTTACCTGACTCTTCAACATTGTTGCTTGAATATGAATAACTGTCGGCAATAGGTGATGTCGAATCAAGATTTGAAGAAAATATTTCATGCTAAAAAAAATTATAAACCATATCATTTTGATATCCAATTAATCTTTGCATGTATTTGATAATCTTATTAATAATCTTTACAAAGTCTTTGAAGAACCTAAATTGTTTGAACGATTCCAGAAGGAAGGATAACAAGTGTACATGTTGAAATTGTGTTCTTTGCAAAGCTAGTATTGCATGAAAATTAAACAGTGTTTGATTGTACCTTTTTTCTTTTATGATGATTGGTAGTCTTACAGAAGATTAGTATGTTTAGTTGCAAATATCGTCTGAAAGTGTGTCCGTGCTGTGCACTTAGAATTAAATGCTATCACTTTTCCAAAACAATATCCAAATTATTTTAAAATCATCAGACTCGCACATCTACTATGATATTGCACTTGTCAATCTTAATCAACTTCGTATCAAACTTGCCACTAACCATTTTTAACATGCTATTTCTAAAAACGCGAAAAAATAAGGAGGGAGGGCATTGCAACATTGTAAAATGATAAATTGAAGCTCAATATAAACATGATAAATGTCGTCTAATTACAGCATCATGTGAGTACATTCGCCAGGGAGAATAATGTAAATTGTCAATACAAATATGAAATAAAACATAAATAAATATTTCGAGAATTATAGTATCCCTTGGATAACAAATCTAGTAAAGTAGGCCATCATGCATATTCACATTTATGTCTGGATATCACAATGAACGTACGTACTTAAGACTGTGGGTGTAGGTTCTTAGTTCTCAGAAAGAGATTAAAGTGTTCAAGTGTAGTAAAAAAAACCTTTGAACACAGAGTAAAATTATATCCTTTGAAAGATATGTCGATATGTATTAGCTGTATGATCAATGTGGGAAAATATTTAACTAACTCCAGTTCTATTAAAACATAGTATGAATCTTACTCGTGTATAAAATTTCAACTGTATGAAATATCATTTATTCACATCTCTGTTTAGTGAAAAAAAGTTTTGTCGTAATGTCTTTTACGATCTTTTCAACTTTGTGGAAAGAAATGATGTGTATGATTCAACAGACAACATAAATATTTATCATTATTCATTTCTCATAAAAACTAGGACATACGTGGTACATCACAAACATAAGAACAAACAAATGAAAACGATGAAGGTAAACCCGTAAAAGCGCCTCGGACGCAAAATAGTTATAAAGTTTTATTTTAATATAAATATCTGCAATATATATTAAGTTTTGTTCTATTACAACAAAATCAATGTTAGTAACGATAAAAACATTACTGTGCGGTTATGCAGTTGTAAACTTGGATTCTGCTGGCTTCGAGGCCATCTGTTGAATAACCATGTACGCCGTACACAACCAATGAAATTGCTCCTTAACAGTAAAACGTCTTACAAAACATACGCCTGTAGCCGACCAGCAATCGCGTTATAACGAACCGACCTTTACTGGTGTGTGCTATAACAAGAACAAACATGCTGCCAAAAAATAACGGACAACAGACGAAAAATTTATCTTTTAACTGGTCCGCGTGAGGAACATCCCCATGTGTTGACATCAACAAGCAGAACAATAACAATGACAGCAACTTAGGGCGTTTCTATTCAAGAGAAATTCAAATGAAATATATTTATTATACTTCTCTGTAATATATCATACAAAATTAAAATTTATTATAATTGTGATAAATGTTTTTTCATCCAGAAAACCCTTAACAATCTAAATAATGACTAAAAATAAGATGGAATGAAATAAAGTGAAATAGTTGTTGAAAACGTATGGGCAGATTGTAGTACGATTTATGTTCACGGAAGTTTCGGTTATTAAAAATCATTGAAATGCACGTTAAGATTCACATCATTAAATGATTCATTTAATGTATGTGTACTGTTTTCTTGTGAATTCGAACTTTTAAGAATCCTTTGACTTAAACTTGGTAAATTTGTGTTATAATGAATTCCATCAGCTTTACGGACATCTATTACCACGCCTTTTGGCTTTTCGAGCGTTTTCCTCATCGGGTTGTATCTACAAATATTCTTTTACCAGGCCCTGTACACTTGTTTTATAGTCAAACTTAGACATTCAAGTATATAAAACATATTCAGCTTTTGTTTAATTCAAAGTATCATATGACTTTAAAAACTCTCGAAATATTTTCTCTAATACTTCAGTTTAAACGCACCCTGAGTGTACATACGAAATATTGAATATGTTAATAGATATTTACAGAACTGCTGTCTTCCGACATATAATATTGTTGATACGTTCTTTTTCTGTAAATTTACTTGTTATTGAACGTTGAACTATTTAAAACACCAAGTTTGTTCTACCACTAGATATAGATTGGCTTAGCCGTATATTTTTTTTGGGGGGGGGGGGGGGGGATTTTGGTTTTTTATGCCGTTTAACTTCGTATCTGATTTGACCTTCCAACTGTTGTGATTCAAGGGCCACTGATGCGTCTGATGTAGTGGCTTTAAAGCATGATCACTATACCTTACCTTAAATAATCTGCGATAAGAAGCGCTATCTTCAGCCTTGACAACTGTAATAAAGGGACAAAAAAGATCAAGATTAAAATAACATTATAGACGAGAAAGAACATAGAATATTAATTTATGAAACAAAATGAGCTTTTGTGCACTGAGTGGACAATATGAAACCATTAAAACACAAATCAGACAAAAATGTACGTATAACAATGTGATAAAAATGGGATACTGATCCATCTACCACTTACAGCTAAACATGATCAGAACCCAGATCAAAATTTGTTCGAAGGATTGCGATCACTTTATTTTCGTAACACTTTTAACATCGCCTTTCCTCTCTGAATCGATTTGAGTACCAGCTAAAAGTCCTAGCAAGAAATTTTACTTCTTATGCAATTGAAAGTCGTATAATAATGTTGAGGAAAATCGATCAAATCATACAGAATAACTATTTCACAATGCTAATTATATAGATCACCACTGTTGTCAAAGTCCATGTAAATATCGAAGGAAGAAGCTGTGCTTATAGTTTTTCTGTGTATTGATACATTAGGCCAATACATTTTAGATTATTGATGATGACAAACATATACATGTTCAATTTATCTCAAAGCAATGTTAAAAGGACAAAACATTCGCATATTCTTTAATTTGATATTTTTGATATCAGTTTCAACTTACAATAATAACTACGACGAAGAAGTGGTCCAAAGAGTTTTCAATGCAATGCTCATTTGTTTTACTATTGAAACAAACCAATTTTTCACTGAAAAGTCTTATTGTACCGAATCCGAAAAATGACAAAATTAAAAACAACAAGTGAAACTGCGAGCTACTGCTCACTGATGACACCCACAGCCCAAATACTTGACGGTAAACAGGAAGTTGTTGAGTGATGAAACTGAAAACGCATCACACGGTATAGCTGACTTATATAAACCCTGAAACCAAATTTCAAAAATCCTTGTAGTGTAGTTCCTGAGAAAAATGTGACGATAATTTTTAACTTGGATGTGTTGTGTAAAATGACGTAAGTGTTCGGTAAACAGGAAGTTGTTGAGTGATGAATCTGAAAACGCATCACAAGGTATAGCTGACTTATATAAACCCTGAAACCAAATTTCAGAAATCCTTGTAATGTAGTTCCTGAGAAAAATGTGACGATAATTTTTAACTTGGATGTGTTGTGTAAAATGATGTAAGTGTTCGGTAAACAGGAAGTTGTTGAGTGATCAATCTGAAAACCCATCACACGGTATAGCTGTCTTTTATAAACCCTGAAACCAAATTTCCGAAATCCTTGTATTGTAGTTCCTGAGACAGATGTGACGAAAGAATTTCATGGGAAGGATGGACGGACTGACGGACTGATGGATGGACGGACAGACAGAGGTAAAACAGTATACCCCCACTTTTTTAAAGCGGGGGTATAATTAAGACAAAAAACCAAAGGCCTGATATCAGTGTAAAACAATTAACGAAAATCAAACATGCCAGCCAACAACAACTCCTGAGTAGCAGGTTGATTATACCTGTTTTGTTTAAAATATCTTTTATACACAATAAATGAGGTTTGTAAAAGAGTGTCACAATATCCACTTTCATAGATCTTTGAATTCTTGCTAACTAGAAGAAATTTTATGGTCGAAAGAAAAATGATTATTTAGCTTATCAAAACTAGTAAAAGGTTTTTAAGTAACAGAAGTATACTAGAATTAATCTTAAAAAACTAATGATTCTAGTGATGTGACTAGCCTGCATTTTTCAAAAGGGACTAATTTTAGAATAGCAGTAGTCTATGTATCTTCACTTAAATCCATTGTAGCCCGTTTTGACCATTTTGAGTATATTTTCAAGGCATAGTGTTGAAAGATTGGAAAAGTCCAACTCCTATGTGTTAAGTAAAGCTCGATCCTCTAGATCTAAACGAACATATAATGTAACTTATCAAAATAAACATACAACGTTTGCTCTCTAATTCCTCTGGATCCATCCCTTCAGCACTATCGTAACTGTTAATTTGAAAGCATTTGTCTTCTTGCTGTACACTTATCTGCGTACTCTTGTCCTCACATAAAACATACGAATGTTGTATACTTACTACAATAAATATAAGAAACACAAAAAGATCGTTCATGTACTACACATTTTTTTATAACCAAATTTGTATTTCGAATAAACAAATACTGTTCCTTCAAATCTTTAGTACGAATAGCAATTGAAAAAGGTTTATTTATATTTTTCTTTGACCATTTCTTCAATAAAATGCAGTGTACATTCATGTGTAAACTAAATTTTAATTTATGCCTGAAAGAAGAAGCCAAATGCATGTTTTACAAGTGTTCTTTCCTGCAATAGGCCTTTCTATTATTTTCTTTTGAAAAGATACGATGTAATCGCTTTCACATTTAACAAGAGTTATATATATTCTAAGAATTGGATAGCATTTTTTAAAAGCAAAAAACATAATGTACGTGATTTATATAGTTGTTGCCTTCTTACAGCAAAATGTAATCTATTCCTTGACACTCCAATAGTTTATGACAAATGTGATTTTAATTATACGTCATTTTCCATATTTTTATATTATGTTAAATGCTGTGGGAAAGTTAACTTTCGTATGCTAACATCTTTTTGTTTCGTTAGAATAATTGATAACTGTTTCTCTGAAATATTCCCCATCCTCATAAATATACCCACTCGGATTTTTTTTACACACATATATTTAGGACTACTGAAAAGAAGTACATCGGGCATCATATTCGATCAGCAGTGATGAGTTGTTCCGTGTGAGCCCTTTTCTCAACAACAGGTACAACTGCACAGGATGACTATGTTTATACAGCAGCTTGACCGTGATGAGTTGTAACTTGAGTAATTTTTCGGGTGTATATAAATTTACTGCCTGTTTGCCAAATGTTCTTCAATATGTCGATTTTCTTCACATTGTTTTTAGTATTACTAAATAGAATGTCTTCATAGATACTCATGAGTTTGATAGTGATGACTTAATAGGTGTGAGCGCTTTCCAAAATTGTTAGATACCTTCTTCCTATTTACAGATATTTGGAATTAGCAAAGCTTTATACTTAGCACGAACACGTTGTTATTTTCTATTCATTTTATTGTATGTTTATGCATGTTTATGTATGTTTTATTATATTTTGTTTCTAAACAATGAAAATGTGTTTTCAAGAATAAACCAATTCCATTTCAACCTTATTTTTGGTTTTTTAATTGCATTTTATTTTAACTAAATAATTTATTCCTTATATATTTATATATAAACTGAAGACAAACTGAGTACCAAAAAGATAAACAACAGTCTACAAAACACAATATAGAAAAATAATGATTGAGCAAAAACAACCACATCAAAAGCCAGGAATGATCACAGGTGCTCTTGAAGGGTTATCAATTATCAACTAGTAGTTTACCTTCATCATTCTCTAGTATGTGTAAAGTAGCTTTCACATGGCATGCTCTTTCCGTGTTGATTTTGCAAACGCCCATCAGACTTGTCAAGAACATTTTAATGGCATGTTCATAATTAAACTTGTTGTGAAGTATACCGTACGGGACAGTTGTAAGGATAATCAAAGATCCCTCTCGGACGAACTTTATTTTAAAGGCTTGTTTATCTGCTAGCTTTTCAAAATCTTTTAAAGCGTCAGCTACAGCTTTTTCATTCCATTCCTTTGGTGTTTTAAGATGCCATAACACTAGGCATTCCTTCACTGTAAAAACAAAGACACTAATTTATTAAAAATACATAAAAACAAGTAATGCAGACAAGTTTATTTCAAATTATCACTCTATCTTAATGTAAGAAGTAATGCATATGTATATATATAGAGAGAGTGAGATAGATCGATATATAGAAACTTTTAAGATATCTTTTATTTACCCATTTCTTCTGGTGAATTCTTTGTAACAGGCTTGTCGTATTTCAGCTCAAACACTACGTTATTGATGTTGTGAATCAATTCCTCTGAAATCATCAACGAAATTTAATGTGTAACACGTTTTCCAATTGACTGTTGGATTGTTTTGCATCAAACGAATCACAATATAAAGGGCTTAAGCCCGAGTTTATGCCGTTTTCAATTTGACCAATGCACAATATGTAATTTCAGTGTAAATATTTCGTTTTCCTTTTTAATGTCAGCTTCTGAATTGAATCTTTTATCTCCTGCAAGTTATCACGTGGGATAACACGAATGCTTTTTTTTTATAATTTCAGATGTCATTAACTTTTGTATATGACCAAAAAGTAAGTTTGGTTAATTTACCTAGATGTATGTTACATCGGGCAGGATATGCTCATTGTCTTAATCACTTGAAATTCATTGTCATGCGAAAGAGGACGGGTCTGTGATTACGACAAGTGAAGTATATATCGTTTAGAAGTATTGATGTAATACCTTCCATTTTAATAGAAACCCTCTATTCGAAATTTTTTTAAAGTAAAAATCATGCATTAGAATATTGTTTCAACTGGAAGATATATATCCACCATGTATCCACTGCCTGAATGCTGCTACGCAGAAATGTAAAGTTCAAATGGGAAAATTGAAATCGTAAAATGTAACTCTCAACTAACCCTTGTCAATTGTCAATTTCTAGAAAGTGATCCGTATAATGTCCGTCATTCAAGATTCATTAGGATATATGCAGTCAGGATACATTAGCAGTCACTAAACTTGAATTTAATCAATGAAAGGCCATGCATATAGCAGAACGTGAAGTAAAAGGTTAATGCCATACGTAACAAATATGTTGTGAATTGAACAATATATCATTTTGATTAACTTTTTGTTTGACTCAGAGTGGTTGTTTACAAGGTATGATTTTTCCTTTCATGATACAAGAAATATATGTATCTGTGTTGGTCATTGTCTTTTATGAAACAAAGTCTGCTTTATAGGTTCAACCTGTCCTAAAGTTCTGATTAACACCGCCCCTAGAGTAAATAGTTTCACAATACCTTTTGAAGTCCGGTTTTGATTGCTGATAAAAAAAATCTGTTTATCATTTCGAAAAAGGTTTGATGGAGCATTTAGCATTAATCTCTCTGAATGTTTGGCTTTCAGGCTAAATAGTGTATACCTTTTTGTGTATCTTGTATGGTCTCTTATATACTTGAATAAAGCATAAGACTATCACCTTATTAACTTTGGCCATAAAGGCATTTGGATATTTCACACTACTTGCAACCTTAAACTTTACTAGACAAATCGGCGAATGATTGGAAACTGATTGATAAACGGTCTATGAATGATAGGTGATCAATGATCCAAATGTTATTTAACATACTTGAGAGTGTCCGTGACAATAGTACGGCATTGATCAGATAATATGTTATATGTACTGATATGACGCATACATATGGTTCGCTTTTTGAAGTGAAATAAAATTAGCTCTGGAGGTATTGGACTTATACTATTCCTTGGTTAAAAAATTTTACGTGAACTGGACTGATCGCTAACAAATTAATACCACTGACTGATTGCTCTTATAATAACGCCAACTTAAATACTAACTGACAATGATTTTGGTTATGCCAACCCTCGTGTTGTACTCGTGCGACGTTTGGTATGCTAAATGGAAGTACCTTTCCCGTAAATAAATACAAAAAAGGTGTATTTTATTCACCTAGACATTTTCACCGTTTCATTTTCTATTTTCAATTTCTTACAATTTCAAATTCAACAACGCAATTAAGTTCGTTTAGAAGGAGTTGAAAGGAAACATACCTTGGAATTCACTCATCTTAGCCGTTATCTCGGCCAGCATCTCTTCTTTGTTTTTTGCTAAACTTTCTTTAAAATCGTATGCTTCAGATTTTACCACACTAACTACTGCTTCTTCTGCCTGTTTTATAGCTCTTGATTGGTCAGAAACACTCTTTTGAATTTGGAGACTGTCATTTATATATAACTTTTCAAGTTTTGTAACGTACTCAGGAACTGTGTTATTATTGTTATTTAAATGATGAGTGTGATCATCAACAACCTGCAAATATATTTTTCAATCAAGCTTAACATTAAATAGGGTTTGACAAACATCGATATTGATCATAACTGGATATTAAGAGGCATACACGAACAACAACTTTTTCCAAAAACAGACTAGGTGGTATACGTATACAAAAAAAATCAGTATGAGTTAAATTTTAATTATATATCAGTTATATAAAGTGTCAGAATTGAAGATAATTATCTTACATACATTAAGACTGCCACATATTTAAGTTAAAATGTGATCGTCATGGTCCTGTTATTAAAGGAACCTCGACATCTTTTAAGACAAATAGAATATATTTTTTCTCGAAATAGGACCAACGTCCACCGTCAAAATTATTTGGAAAAGTGTCCACAGTTAATTAAAGATGTTCTTTCATTCCTGAGTAAAACCTGGTGTTAACAGGAGAAATATGAAAAAAAACATCAATTGATTCTTATTCATATGTATAAATATTGTAGATATTAAAATATCACATTTCGAAAGTAAATACGAATTAATAATTCGTCAATTTATAGGATTGGAGGCTAACTTCAAATACTCTGAGATCGTTTTTGTTTTCGTATTGGCAAACATAGTGTAATATTTTAATGTTTTGTAAATATTGACCTCTGGTTAAATTGGCTTTATAACTGTTTATTTGGTCAGAGACTGGCAGATTGTGTATCAGCTGTGATACTGGAAGGATGTGATTTTCCTTGAAGTCTTGAATCAGTATAGATTCTGGAGGACTTGTATTTAAAGTTTATATGTTTAAACTTTGTTGCTAATAATTTGTCAATAAGTCTGAAGTAATGTACATTTGTGAATAAACTTGTAAATATATACCGTATTCTTTAGTTACATGAAATTACCACAGGATACATTGTCGTGCCATAGTATGGTTATGTCCGTCCGTCTGTGTCGATGGTGTTGACCTCTCCTCGGTCACGTTACAATTTTTGGTGGCAGCGGTGTGGATATTATTAACATGGATTAGTTTATTTCCATTATAAGAATTGATGTGCAATTTGGAATTTAACAATGTATTTACGCAAATTATATTCAGTGGATTTATAGTAATGTCAGTAATATTCCGATAATTTTGTGTGAGAGGATTATTGCAAATAGAATAAAATATTTCTGATGCGTAACTAAAGTAACTGTAATTAAATTGTTATAAAATGGATAAACGTGATTCTTCTGATAGAGAAATGTATTTCGGAGGTGCAAGACCTAAAGTATCAATGGATACGGAAATAGAGTTAAGTTCAACTGTGTTATCAGCTTCAACGCCTAGAATGATCGAAACCCAAAGAGAAATTCAGCGTTTAACTAAAGAGTATGAAACTCTTCAGGAAGAAATTTCAAGTGCTCCGACGCCGAGAAAATGACCGATTCCATCCGTGTTCCAACCTTTTGGTAATCAAGGATCGCATTCACCTAAGCGTATGAAAATTGAAAAGCCAGTTGTCCTACCCTCGAAATATGATGGTTCTGTTTCTTGGGAAGAATATAAAATTCAGTTTGAAATGATATCTGAATTAAATTGTTGGACGGGTAATAAGAAAGCAATGTTTCTTGCGACAAGTCTAAGCGGGAATGCACAAAGTGTTTTAGCCGATATTGATCCGATTAAGCGTAAAGATTATAAATCGATATGTGCAGCATTAACTAGTAGATTTGGAACCGAAAACAGAACAGAGCTTTTCCGTGTGCAGCTTAAGAATATCCGTAAAACAAAAGATCAAGATTTGCCTGAATTGGCGCAACATATCAAGAGACTAAGCCGTAAAGCATATCCCAAAGCTCAACTGGAACTACAAGAAATGTTGAACCGAGATCATTTCGTTGATGCATTAGATGACGCGGATACACGTTTGCGTATACATCAAGCTCACCCAAAGACACTAGATGATGCAGTTAAGTTAGCTGTTGAGCTTGAGGCATTTTACATCGCGGATAAACAGAGGGATAAACCTTCAAGTGTTCGAAATTTCGCTATTTCGGAAAGTTCAGAAGTATCTGGTCAAATTAAAACCTTATCTGATGTGGTAGAGAAATTTCGACGTGAGCTTCAGTTTCTTAAGCGCGATATGAGTCAACAGAGACGCGGATTTAATAACAATATAAACAAGCCGGGGAAAAGGGGATGTTGGACTTGTGGCGAGACAAGTCATATCAGAAGAAATTGTCCTAAATATGACAAAAGTAAAACAAATTATCAACAAAAAGACCGAGTTAGAACCGGTCGTGTAGCGAGTGGCGATGGAGGAATGTATATTTCTGGTAAATTTCAAGGTAAAAACATCCAATGTTTAGTAGATACAGGTGCAAATGTGACAATTTTGAACAGTAAGGTATACGATTCTCTGTCCGATGGAAACAAAGTGGTGTTGCGTCCAACACATACAAACATGAAACTGGTTTACCGTCGGCAAGTTTCATGTTTGTATGTGTTGCGTCCAACACATACAAACATGAAACTTGCCGACGGTAAACCAGTTAAAGTAAGAGGAATAGGTAAAATGAACGTTAAAATTGGAAGGACACTTCTCACACACGATGTGTGGGTAGCTGATATAGATGAAGATATAGACTGTATTATCGGTTTTGACTTCATGAAACAAAATATGTGTTGCATTGATGTGGCTAACAATACAATGACTGTTAACAAAGAACAGATATCTTGTGCAGTAGTAAATACACAAGGTGTGCGATGTTGTCGGGTTGCTGTGTCAGAAACAACAGTTATTCCGCCGGGTGTCGAGCAGATTATTCCGGGGAAAGTTATTGATATTGGTTATGCTCCAGAATGTAGCATGTTAGTAGCTTCAAATAAATTTGTGGAGAAACATCAGCTCCTGTTGGCTAAAACAGTAGTTAATTCATCATCAAATGTCGTTCCGATTCAAGTTTTGAACGCAACAGATAAGTCTGTTAAAGTGTATGAAAAAACTATTGAAACGCCATGTGAAGCAGTCACAGTATATAACGAGTCAGCTTGTTCTCTAGATTCGTCAAAAGAAGATATTCCAGAACATTTATTTAGTTTATCATGTTTATATACAAACAGTATTAGTGACTTGGTTTACCGTATTCAAAATTCAGAACCAGCAAAATCAAGAGTTTTCATTACAACAGACCTGGACTAAAACCGTATTATGGAGATTTTGACAATTGACTAGTTAAAACTGTAATTCAAAAAGACACCGAGTCTCACGCTACCGCAATCGAAGAAAATAACATTGAGTCTGACATTGAATAGAGTGAAAATGAACAGTGCGATATGTCTAATTTTCCAACTAACAATATTGAATACGGTCGCGGACATCGTGTGAAACGTCCACCCATCAGATTCGTTCCTGATTAAAACTTTTATTGAACTTTATAAACTATGAACATTTAAAATGAACATTGAAATGAACATTGCATTTTTTCATGATTATGATTGAATTATTTGATTTATTTTATTGTTAAAATGTTGAAATTGATTTTTGATACATTTTGAGTTTTCCATTTAAATTTTATTGAGCATTTTTGTTTTATTTTTGAAAGTGGTCTTCCATACTTTAATAAGTTAAAGTTGGTTTTTTTTATTTACATGTGGGACACATGTTTTTCAAAGAGGGAGGCAATGTAATATTTTAATGTTTTGTAAATATTGACCTCTGGTTAAATTGGCTTTATAACTGTTTATTTGGTCAGAGACTGGCAGATTGTGTATCAGCTGTGATACTGGAAGGATGTGATTTTCCTTGAAGTCTTGAATCAGTATAGATTCTGGAGGACTTGTATTTAAAGTTTATATGTTTAAACTTTGTTGCTAATAATTTGTCAATAAGTCTGAAGTAATGTACATTTGTGAATAAACTTGTAAATATATACCGTATTCTTTAGTTACATGAAATTACCACAGGATACATTGTCGTGCCATAGTATGGTTATGTCCGTCCGTCTGTGTCGATGGTGTTGACCTCTCCTCGGTCACGTTACAATAGCAACCAAATACAATGATGCGGTAGTAGAGTGACGTTAAAACATCATAAAGAATGTTCTTATGAATAAAAGTATACATTCGTTTGTTTTATATGCCATCCACTCCACAGAGAGACAAATAATAGCCAACTTAGCTCAATGCATACTCTGACATTTCTGATGTGTGTTTTACAACTAAATCCTTTTGGTTTATATTAAGTTGCCGATTATCCCCCCCTGCGCCGCAAGTGAGAACCTCAATTATAATATGTAAATAAAATTTGTATATATATTTGTCATGTTACTATTTTAAATAATTGTCAGAGCTTTACAATTTGTGTTGTTTGGGTGTTAAAATTGTGGAGATATTAAATGGTTGCAAAAAACTGAAATTCCAAATAATTTGTTTTAAAAATAGAGGGATCCTTATCGAGAAACCATTTCAATAAGGGTCATTCGAAGTTAATGCCTAATGAACCAATTTAGGGACCTTAATTAAGAAGTTGAGAGACTGTGTTAAATATAATTACAGCTTGTATATTAGACAAATTAAAAACAAAATATGTTAAGTTTTTTTATATATATATATATGAATACAATGTACCTAGTTATCACATATGATTCAATATTTACATCATTTAAAATGATCAGCATCAACAAGACACATAAAAGATTATTCATGCCTCTATCTTTCAAATTTACAGAAACAACTGATAATTCAAAGGAAATAATTCACTCTGTACGAGTATATATGTCGAAACCAATTACAACATAGATTAGCAGTTGGATACTTAAACTTTCAAATATTGACGTGTTCTATAAATTTGATATGTGACTGCAGTTAACAATCTTTGCAGTTTAGAAGAGCATAGAATAAAGGTGTAAAAACTATATAGTTATTAAATGTTGGCAATGTATGGCAAGAATTTTATTTCCTGAGAACTTATTGGGTGAAAATAAAGTGGATTTGTTAGATGGAGAAGCCGTATAACAATGGGCCCACCAGTTTTTGCAAAATTGCCAAAAATTAAATCGTACAACATGCCACGAAAATTGTACCACATTTGTGAAAATGTATAAACTTGGAAACTAGTCAGTATACGTAACAAAGATTATTATATGGGCAGAGAAAATGAAGAAAATGTTACTTTTAACACCTATTTCACATAAATTTGGTATATCGACCTAGTTCACTGACAACTATTAAGGGCATGTTTATTAAATTTCGAAAATTAACAAATGCAAATAATGGTGTTTTGGATTCTAAATCTTAAGATTTTTTAGATAAGGCACAATCTTTGAATTTTCTTGTAAATTCGGTTGACAGTTATGACTTTTCAACTTTTTTCAATCAATTTCCACTGCCAAAGATGACCTTAGATGGATTTTGGCTAATATTTGTAGGTCCCTTTTGATTGTATGGCTCTTCTCGTATTTATTTGGCCTTATTAACTTTTTTGACTCGAGCGTTACTGATGAGTCTTTTGTAGACCGGCGAACAAGATTTTAATCCTTGTATTTATGATGAGTTTATTCGGTACTTGGGCGTCCTTCGCTTTCAAATATTTTGCTTATGCGTTTCTGATGAACGTAAATCCAGAAAGCGCTTCGGAAGCATACAACATAAAAAGGGTTATTTTCATTTTTTTATAGCACTGGGTTGATACCGCTGGTGGTGGACTATTAGTCCCTGGGGTTTCATTAGCTCAGTAGTCAATGTTTCGGTACTGGCATTCAGAAACTAATTTCCAACCCCCTCGGGCAAAGTTGACCTTAGATTGATTTGGCTAATATTTTGAGGTCCCTTTCTTCACGTGTGTCGGTACTTATACATCCATGGCTTTCAAATATTTGGCTGTAAGCGTTCCTGCTGAGAATAAATCTAGAACACATACAATGTAAAAGTGATTTTTTGACATAATTTGATCAATCGGAAGTTTTATTATTTAATCAGATGGTGTTCGAATTGTAAAGCCTTCTTCTGTAACGAAAATGTCATCTAACTGTTTCCATTTAACAGCAGATCCCGATCTAAGTGTATTTTTTTTTATAGATTACAGGTAATGGCCAAACTCATAAAACTACCATCGAAAAAATTCTATTTATTAGAAAATATAATAGCTCTTATCGTTACCTTGACATACGTTTGCTTTGAATGATCAAGAACTCTCATATTGCACGGGAGTGATTTACCCCATGGAAAAATAAATATTATTTAAACAGCGAAAATTGGTTTATTGTTGTTTTTGATATTTCAGTTTCACATGATTAACATTTATGAAAAAAGTACCCCTTTTGTTCATTTTTTTTTTTGGGGGGGGGGGGGGGGCAATGATGTACCCTCGGTCCCTACATAAGTGTTGCACTTGTCCGCTATAACCGTGTCCAAAGTGACGTTTTATATATCAATGAAAGTAATATATGTAATTTATTCATCTTTATAGATAAATGTCTCATTGTATATAAGCTAACATACCTCTTCTTATTTTGTTTTAAACAAAAATAAATACCATAACAAAATATAGCTTTTGTTACTTGAAGATGCCTTTCGTGTTCCGCTAGGGTTTTGATAGTCCATGCAAGTGGCTGATAGGTGGTATATCTGTGCAGTTCATCGTTTCGTAAATTTTGGTTGTTGTCAAGTCATACATATATTTTTGTCTCTTATACATACTTATCTGTTTGCCGAGCCATTGGCTATATAACTTTCAGAATGTATTTTCGTCAATGAGACAGCAGAACATGAACACAAATAATCAATAAACATGTAGTGTATAACATACAGTCGTCATCAATCGACACGTATGTCTATAAAATATGTCAAATTCTTAAACGTCACAAGTCTATAACAGATAGGAATCAATTTAACTAAATTCTCCAAATGATGAATTAGTTTTAGATATGACAAAAGACAACAACAGATAATGTTCCTGACTTGGACAGGAACATGAATATGAGGCGGGGCTTAACTATTCCATCACCTTTTATAATGTCAATCAGTGGACTCACAAAACGTTCATAAAAGAATAAACCAGAGGGTCTAGATGGGTGGTCCTTCATTTCTGTATTCTTTATTTTTTTATGCCGTTTTTTCCAAATCTTAATATTTTTAGCCTATTATTCTCTATTCTTTATTTTTTGGGGTCCATTTTTCTCTATTCTTTATTTTTTCGCCCATTATTCTCTATTCTGTAAACGCCCATCCAGACCCTCATACCATACAAATCGGTATAAAAAAGCACTTTTCTTTTACATGACAGTATAACAGATAACTATAAAAAAAAAACTACATCGTTTTTAAGAATGCTTACTTACTGGAAGCAAGCTATAGTACTTTAAAACTTCCTGATATGAAGACATATCGAAGTTCAATTCGTAAGTCAAGTTCAGCCTATTCTCGTCGCATCAATCGAATGTTATAACACAGTGCATATGTACATCGTGTTTTATTTTATATAGCATAGTAATCACATAAACAGTACCAAAGTTGATGCACTAGATGCTCATTTTCGACAATTAATGTCTCTTCAGTGATTCTAGAGGCCAAAATATTTGAATATCCAAAGTTTTATACATATATTGAAGAGCGGATAAAACCAAAAAGGACCTGAAGTATAAGAAAATCCGTACAAGGTATCAGAGCTAAATGTATGAGGGAGATATATTCCTTAATTCTGAATAATTTCAAAAATTTAATAACAGCAAATTTTAATCAAACAACATCCGTATAGTCATGCCAATACCGAAGAACTGGCTACTGTGCTAGTGGTACCATCGGTTTTAACATTCCACCAACAGAGGTATCCAACCAGTGGTACATTGTGGTAATAACAAAAACGGTACCAATTCGACAATTAAAGTTTCTTTAATGATTCTTTTGTCCAAAATACTTGAAATTTTGAAATTTGAAGAGCGGATCAAATCAGAAAGAACATAAAGTATAGCCAAATCCAGAGCTTTGCATTAGGGATATATATTCCTTAATTTAAAATAATTTCACAAATTTTAATCAAACTATGTCCTTGCATCAAAATGTTACCTTTACTTTTTGCATTAAAATGTTACCTTTACTTTTGGAAAATAAAAAATATTCTTTTTTGTCGAATGTTTAGTTATTAACCGATCTTATTTGTCAGTTTCTGGTTGTAATTCAAAATATGAGTCAGACCTAACTATATCTGTGGTATCTTTCATTTCATGTTCAGCTAGATTAATGTACATGTAGTTCAAAAAGTCACCAAACTCTAAAATAGACGATTGAAAATGATGTAGCATGGACGTTAAGCAACCAACAATCAATCAATCAATGATGTAGCAATACATGGAGTGGCTTGAATAATTTTTAAACACTAATGGCCATATTTAAAAAAGCAGACAGTTTGTCATTTTTTTTATTTTTTTTTTTTTTTGCAGTTTTACATTAAATGCAAGAAGTTTGTATCCCTAAAGCAAATATTCAAGACACATTTCAAAGAAAAAATTACTGTTATCTGTCTCACTAATGTTTTGTTAAAAAAAATTAATCTCATTAAAATCAGCTGTTAGTTTACGCGACGCTATTCTCCGAAGGATGTAATTTAAAAGATGTACTATTTGTTTTGATTTTCGAATTTCAGGTGCCTCATAATACTTTATTATCAATCAATTAAATTTTGCTTATACCGAAGCACTAACTTTCTGTTTGGTTCCGTCGTGAACGGGAAATTTAAAATCAGTGGCAATAGTACAGACATCGTATGATGATATCTTCGGCGACTGATAGTCCGCAATCACGGTTGTGCTTCTAACGATACGTGTGTTTATAAATATAACCAAACATATTTTGAAGTATATACATGAGTCATAAAATGTAAAAGATTTAAGTTTTGAAAGTCGAAAAGAAGGGAATGTATACTAAATATGAAATATGTTAAAAGTGTTTTAATTTGAGAATGGGTATATCTTCTGGATTAAATACTTACTATCTCCATAGAGTTGATACGATTAGAAAGCTCAGCAATTTCCTCCGTGTCAATTTCATGTTTACGGCAATTCTGTATTTGTTTTTGAATAATTCTTTGGTAAGGCACATCAGAAAGATTTAAGAGATGTGTTTCTAAGTCTGTCCACATAATATTTAATTCTGCCATTGAAAAACAGTTTGTAGACCGTGCATGGCATATGGAATTTCTACAAAAGTTCACTGTATCAAGTGACGAATTTTCACTGGCAGACATGTTTGCAAATAATCGTAACAAGAAGGATAAGACGGTGATGTCCAATTCGTGAGCAGCAATGCTTCTTGTCACAAATTTGTGTAAACATAACTGCTGTAAACACCCACCCCGTTTGATTACATGTGCAGGATCTTCTATTCCATTTGCTTCATACAACATTTGGAAGATCCAGTTCTTCATTTTTGTGAAGCGTCCAATAGAACACCCGAATGGTGGACATGCACAGCACATGGTTTTTCTTTGCTCCCACTGATGATAAAGAAAATGTTTTTCATTGTCGAGAAACTGGGTAAAATGTCCTCCATTTTGCGGAAGTGATAAAACTTTCAGTGTGAAAAAGGCGGATAAGACATCAATTCCGGTATCTAGAACGCATTTAAAAAGCTTCATAAGCTCCCTTTGCTCACATGCACTACTACCCATTGCAACAAGATTGTACTTCTTGTCATATATCAAATGTAAGGGATTTATTAATTTCGATAAAATATATGGTGTATTTTTATACAGTCTATTACAGTTCCGGTACTATGAGTGTCTTTCATATCTGCAAAACAAATTAATGCGTCGTTATGAAATAGATCTGTGACACAGTCGAAAATTGCAAATTGTTTTTTTTTTCAAATTAGTATGAAAATAATAAATATGCTTTTTCATTAATATATATGTAAAACTATATATTGTGTATATATCGTTATGATATTGAATGTACTTTATGTATATGTTTTTACTATTTTGAGGACTCTAAGGAAGATTAGTTTTTACTAATGGGATTATCCTCTTGAAATAAGTAAAAGATCATTTGAATAAGACAAATATTATTGTTAACGGGTCTTTAAACGGATTTTATTACAACATCACTGAACTCATCAAGGTGTCGTGTTTTTTAATTTATTTATAAATGCCTTTTATATTATCTCATTACATGCACTTTGTGTACAAAAATGTCTCAACATAACAATTGGTATGTATGAATTTCATGCTTTTATTGACTAAGTAACATTGGTGTAAATAGAAAAACATAGACTTTATTAACTATGTATAAATTCATATATTTTATCAAATATTTTGAAACATTAGTGTCAGTAGAAACACATAGGCTTTATCAATTATGACAAAATCAAAAACTATCATAAATATGTATTTAGTATTAATTAAGAATGAAGTTTTAAATTACAAAATTCTTCTTACCTGATTTATATCTAGTACTAGTAATTGTTTTGAAGTGGACTGACTGTTGGTAAATGTAAAACAATTCGATAGGTTTTTTCTTTAATTAGCTGAACATTTATGTACACGTAAGAAACAGATCTTTGTTTAAATGCCAGATGCCGGGATATGATAATAGTACTGAATTTTCATAAGATTTAAAATTTTTAAAAAAAGTTAATGATCTGCATCTTACATTAATGTAATGCATCTGTTTACCCTCAACTGTATATTGTATTTGTATTTATATTGTACTTTTTCTGTAAACTTGTATTTAGTTTTTAGAAAATAACGTATCTATCTAACTAGTACCTCACAAAATCTGGTTATGCACTTTAAGACACAGATTCTTACTACACAAGCTTTAGAGTGTACACTTCTTGAAAAGTAATCCATTTCGGTACATTGTTTAGTATTTAATGATTTCATGTTTTCCCAATCAAATATTGATAATGATTTGCCTATGTATATTTCTTTGTATAATATTTAAGATAATAATTGTCAAACTGAAATAAGAAGCAGCATTCATAGACAAATATCTATTGCCCTCGTATTAAGCTATACACAAGGTCATAACACGTGCCATTTAATTGTTATTTTTTAATTTAACAATAGTATGCTACAAAATTTGTCAATTAAAGACATCGGAAACTGATTTGATTTAACCATGATATTGTTATCATTTGCAAAAGGTGTGATCATACTTACAATAGTATGGTGCACTGTAATTCATCACTAGTCGATCGAGGTAACATGATCGATGATAAGTCATTCGTAGTTTATTCTGGTCAAGTCTTGTAAGGAATGATATGATCAACCAACTACTTTTAACAAAACTAGAAACTGTAACACTACGGTGTCTTCAAACCTGTGGTCGAACGTGTTTTATAATTACGTCCATAATAATCTGTTAATGACTTACCTGATTACCGCTTTCTTATCAATTTCAATAAACAAGGAAGTAGTAAGTACAAATAGTTTAGTATGACGTCCATTTTCACTGAACTAGTATACATATTTGTTTAGGGGCCAGCTGAAGGACGCCTCCGGGAGCGGGAGTTTCTCGCTGCATTGAAGACCCATTTTTGGCCTTCGGCTGTTGTCTGCTCTATGGTCGGGTTGTTGTCTCTTTGACACATTCCCCATTTCCATTCTCAATTTTATGATCCCACCTATTTTTATTTGATTATAAAGGAGTGAACAGGATCATTTAAAAGAGACCGATACAAAGGAGAAGAGACCAGAGAAAAGCAGGGTATAAGAAAAAAATCATTTTTTTAATGACTTAAGTCAGTCAACAGTTTTAATTAAGGCGACAGTAGTTTACCGATGTGCAAATTTAGTAATAAATTAGGAAGAGAAAAATCATGGTAGCAAACAAAATCGAGGGAATCGCATGAAGTCCAAGATGAGCTAGACCGGATGGGTCGACAGGACAAGGGTCTCCTATAATGCATGCATTGCCCGCTATGCGAATTCACACTCAGTTAAAGTGTCACAATCGGGAATAGGACTCAATCGATAAAATTACAGATCAGACGACTATACTGGTATCTAAATATCTAAGACCGTGAAAACATGTTCCTAATGAGATACCGACACATCGTATCGGTCAACCAATTCGTGACGTAATCGTAGTGTTGATTTTAGTCGTTCTTTCAAAAACATTTCTTTGAGCGGTTCATGTGTAAGCTGCACACCGCTCTTTATGAGTTCCGTATAGTGGGAACATGCATGAGCGTAAAGTTAAAACTAAGATATGTAAATGGCATACGATGGAGCAGAGGGTATGCTACTGCAGAGAAATGGGAAGTGGACAGTTGGAAAGTTGAAATCATCATAGATTCTTGTTTGAAGTCGTCCATCAGTGTCAATATCGAGAAAAAAATCAAGATATGAATCAAACGTTCTTTTGGTGGTATCCTTAATCGCACGTTTATTAGAATATATGAGATGTAATCACTCATTGAAATAAAAAATAACAATAAATTAACGTTACTCATCGAAAGGACGATCACGACACATGAAATCTAAAACCTCTTTTTATGCAGTATAGGTAGAAAAAAATTGCATGAGTACATTGACAAACTTGCATGGGGAAACGATGTGTGTACAATAGATGCAAAATATACCGAAGGGACACTCAAACTCATAAGTCAAAAATAAGAGTCAGGTTTACCGACAGAACATCCGACATCCGTACTATGAAATGCAACGAGCATTCATGTATCTGAAGTCGTGTTCAGTTTTCCGTTCTATAACATGGGAAGCCCTGACTAAACAAGACTTGCTATGGTACGATTTTGCATCAGAAAATGTAAACCTAAACTTAATCGGGAGGTTGTGGATCGGTGATGAACATGTTTTGCAGTGTATCATATTTGTTGTTCGTGCATTGTTTGTTCTTAAATCAGGTCGTTCGTTTTCTCATTTGAATTGTTTCCCATTTGTCATGTTGGGACCTTTAAAGCTTGCTATGCTGTATGTAATAGATCATTGTTTAAGGCCGTAGGATGTTAAATAATTTCTAACTTTTGCGTTATTATGACTCTGTTGTGGAGTTTCATTTGGAATTATACACTGTCTTAACAACAGTGATGAACTAAATATTCTTATTTTTTATATTAATAGCGACGTCTAATTAAAATATCAATTAATGACTTCCGATGTGTTTGCCCTATATAATAAGTGTGCTTAATCTACAATACAATAATATAATTTAAGTCCTGTATTTAAATTCAGTTATCGCGTGCGCTGTACCATTATGTTGGTTTGGTTCTTAGTGAGTTTCAGAAAACTCTAATTTCATTGGTGGCTACTGAACCATACAATCTGACGTAACGATCCTTTTTGAATTCGGATCCAACAGGAAAGGCTGCATATATTCACCAGAAATTTTAAATCGAAAATGTTGGAGGGAATTAAACGGTCAAGCCCAAAAGTTAAGGATGCAAGATAAGCCATTACCAAAGAACTGTTGCTATCAATAATTAAAATTTTGACTTTTATTTGTTATTCTAATTATGAAGTTAAGCTGTTCAAGGCTGCCTTCATAAAGTCTATCACGGTCTTGTGGGGATAGGGGAGTTAGCGGTTAGTAATGGCAGGTCGGCTCAAGTCAAGTTTGGAAATGAATGGCCATGTATATTTAGAAAAATTGTAAAACAAATGAAATTGTGGCACACAAATGACACCAAGTTATAGCCATTAAACATGTAGCTCTGATGCTAACTATCTATCAAACGACACAAGAGGAAATATGAAACATTCAAAAGCAAAAATCATTCAATATACGTTTTGGCTAATAAACGAAAAAAATCGTAAAAAGTATTTTTATTCATCTTGATTTAACAATTTTAACCAGAGAATTTGTTTTTTTACAAATATAAAAGATAACAACAGAGCTGTCAATGTCCCCCGCCGATATTCCGAGATTGTTCATATAATTTACATTTCCAGGGGACATAACTCCCGTTGAAAAAAAAATCGCTCGGCCCTGATTTTATACCTTTGTCATAAATTTCATAAAACATGTTCTTGCAAATATCCACAATAGAAATATTTACAATACGACATAAAAACATCACTTCACTAAACTTAAAATTCAATAGGTAATAAACTCCTCTTCTTTAAGTGATTTGGTACTTTTTCTTCCGATGGTGCCAGACCCTGTGCATATGGCAAACACTAAAGTAAATCCATTGAAAACGTATAAAATTGCCGCAATACAGGTCATCCCGAAAGAAAAACTGATCTTGATATTTTCATTACTGGCCAGATCATTGACTGCTGCATAAAAGACTGCAAGAGAAATACCTAGTAAGCCCCCTGAAAATGAAAGATAAAACAAAACAGGGGTATTAAAAACAAAAAAAAAGCAAAATAGCGTCTTAAATTGAAAAAAATGCGTCAATCCTTTACAAATTCTGTCAAATGTATTGATAAATAATAAGGATAATATAAACTACTATTCAGAATTGCTATAGTATGTCTGATGTTAGAGACATATTTGACCTTTCTTGGCAAATTTACACAAATTTTAGCAATCTTAAATACGAACGTCAGTCTTAGTACCCCAAAATATATTTGACTCTCTTCAGGATCTTTGTATAAAGACCTCATGCAGCAAAATAATTCGTTTTAGGTAAGGCTGTGGCCCATATCTACATATTAATGACAAAACCGCAAAATGAGACTATATTAGCCGTTTAGCATTTAATGCCAGAAGCGTGATCCTTAAAAGAAATATGCAAGACTAAATTAAAAACTGTACAAACTGACTTTTGACAGGTTAATGTCATGAGATCATCTGAAATTTTTTCTGTACACTAATATCGAGAAATATCATACTCGAGTCAAAATGTAAACGTTTTTTAGGAGTGAATGCAGCTTACATTCAATTTGTTATAATTTGATGACATCTTTTATCATAAACCCCGTTTTTGTCTTGGTATTTTTTGTCATGTTTTTAATCCCTTGGATATGTTTTACGCTTGTTCGTCCTAACGGTTGCACTTTTGTAAATATAGACAATGTAATTTCCCAAGGGAACTAACTCCTTTTACGGCTAAAACTGTGCCACTTCTACTATGAAGTTCGTAAAAAATCATATCCTAGAATGGAAAGTTCGTATGCACTACTATTTTTTTCAAAGTTCAAAACATAGGGCTGTGCGGCATATTTTCAACATTTATATGCCTCAAACTTCTAACATGTGTCTAAAGAGTTCAAACTTATACTAAAATTATGTACAACCCCTGCCTTCACTTTGGGTCTTCAATTTGGCCGCTATCCATCTGTATTTATACTGGTAAAATTCCCAAGTTGAGTCTCTCTGAGATGAAACATAGAGATAATATCTCGGAACCAGTAGGTAAACAAAACAAAATATCTATGAATATTATATATCTTCCCAAAAAAGGCGTGGTTTGTGAAACAACTGTATTTACAAAGTACAACATACAGGGAGTAATTCTTTGAAGTACTGCTTTTATAAGGTCTCCTGTCATCGCTAATAAGTTCCGCTTTAATTTTACAAAGGCGTGATACGCGAATAAACGAATTTACTGAAGAACGAAAGAAAGAATGAATGAGAATTTGCTGTTGCACATTGTTGTCAAATATTACAGTTTTGTTAGTTCTAAACACAAATTCACTGTTTATTAGACAAAAAACACTATGCAAGTACGACAACTGTCAAAATAAAATTTGAGAAACATACTTTTATCAGTTTTTCACATTAAAATAATGAAAACGCTTTTCACTTTTTTAATCAAAATAATGTGTACACTAATCAAAAAATTATATACAATAACCTGTAATTAAACATCCAATCACTATAAAACCATGAGAGCAACGTCCAGTCCCTGTTCTTCTGTAAAGGAACCATAGAAACACTGACGTCACAATGACACCAGTTACAAATCCAAGCATGGCAAAAACTCTTGTTGCTATCCAGAAATCTAAAAATAATATAATTATGGTTGTAGTTTCTAGGAAAAAAGTCTCCTTACGAATTATAAGTGAAGTTTATGATGGGATGTGATCATATGGATTACTCACTGGTGGAAAAAAGTTTTTTTTTTAAAATGTGTACTTCTATAGAAAACAATTTTTTTCTGTAATACTAAAGAAACAATTCTTTCATGCCATGATCTATGCTCATTATAACATGGATAGGCATTATATTTGTCAATATCTAAATACCGAGCGTAAGCGAGGTGTAAAATGTTGACAAATATAATGCCTACCATGTTAAAATGAGCATAGAGCATGACATGATAGAATTATGTCGATTCTAATTGGAAAATTTTGAACTTTTGTACTTCAAAGCGGACCTATAATACACTCTCGAAATGCAGCCATTTTGATTTGATGTACCAAAAACGTTATAGAAAATCAACAGTTTTACCGCGATAAAAAAATGAACAGATACATTTAAACTTACTTTTAGAATGATTTTATTTAGGGACCGTTCAAAATTTATCAGATGGATAGGCCGGTGCAAAATGGTGCGGGGCAAGCACTCTTTTTGTGGAAATATTTGGATGGGAGAGATCTTTTTTTTCACATGTATAGTGGATGGGCCAGAACTTATTTTATAGGAAAAATTTTGCTATCAATTTTATCGGTGTGTAGAAAATTTCTTTTGCAGGCACACAAAACATAAAAGACATGGTCTCAACAAACTGGTAGCTTGGTTCATTTCTGTCAATTTTAAGGATTTATTTAAATAAAATTGAGAATGGAAATTGGGAATATGTCAAAGAGACAACAACCTGACCAAAGAGCAGACAACAGCCGAAGGCTACCAATGGGTCTTGAATGCAGCGAGAAAATTCCGCAGCCGGAGGTGGTCCTCAGCTGGCCCCTAACTAAAATTGTGTGCTAGTTCAGTGAAAATGGACGTCACACTAAACTCCAAAACATACAAAGAATACAAAAGCTAGAATTTTCTATTCGGACTAATTTCAGATAGCCACTTTTAAAAGTTTATATAAATTTTCAAAACCACTTGGATTTTCATATCAATTGTATTTTGACCTTATAGAATACCAGGTTGTTTAATAGTTTGGTGTATTGCTGTCAAATTTATGGATTTTATTAATAAGTAAGAAAAAAATGCTAAAATTTTCAGTTTAGGCTAATTTCAGATAGTCACCTTTAAAATTTTTTATAACATTTTCAAATCCACTTGGATTTTCATATAACTCTACAGCTACCTCATTTACATATTGATCTTACAGAATGCCAGGTTGTTTGGTACTTTGGTTTTTTGCTGTCATTTTTATGGATTTAGTTAATAGGTTAAAAAAGCTACAATTTTCAGTTTAGGCTAAATTCAGATAGTCACCTTTAAATTTTTTTTATAACTTTTTCAAATCAACTTAGATTTTCATATAACTCTACAGCTATCTCATTTATATGTTGATCTTACAGAATACCAGGTTGTTTGGTAGTTTTGGTGTATTGCTGTCATTTTTATGGATTTAATAAATAGGTTAAAAAAAGCTTAAATGTTCAATTTAGACTAAATTCAGATATTCATCTTTAAAAATTGGTATAAAGTTTTCAAATCAACATTGATTTTCATAAAACTCTACAGCCATCTCATTTATATATTGATCTTACAGAATGCCAGGTTGTTTGGTAGTTTGGTGTACATGTGTTGCTGACAAATTTAGGGATTCAGTGGCAGATCCAGAAATTTTCATAAGAAGGGGCCCACTAACTGCCTAAGAGGGGGCCTGCTCCAGTCATGCTTCAGTGATTTCCTATATAAGCAACTAAATTTTTCCCACAAAAAAGGGGGGGGCGGGCCTCCTGCCCCCCCCCCCCCCCCCCCCCCTAATCTGCCTTTGGGATATAATTTATAGGTAAAAAAAACTGCATCAAAGTCAAAAACATGTCTGCCTAAATTGCTTTAAAAAGACTATAATTTCTTTCTTGAAAAGTAGAATAGATAAAGGGACATTGTATATTTGAAATATAAGCATGCTCTATTATTAAGACAATAATTGGTAATTCAGCATATGGTAATATGTTTACTAGTCTAAGAGTTATTGTCCCTTAATTTAAATTATTCCCTTTTATTTTAAATTAATATGGTATTTTGAAAATTGTATACAAATTGGATAGTTAGTTAATATTTTTTTTATTGTTAACAATAGTTTGAATAAATCTTTTTATTATACTTCACGTTAAAATGCCATATTTTGATTGGCTAATACGAGGGTGTTAATTTACTCTATTACCCTTCATGGAGACGCTTGATCAAGTGTGCGCTTTATTAAATACGACTCTATCCTATGGCGAATACTCTATTACCCTTCACGGAGACGCTTGATCAAGTGTGCGCTTTTTTAAATACGACTCTATCCTATGGCAAATACTCTATTACCCTTCACGGAGACGCTTGATCAAGTGTGCGCTTTATTAAATACGGATGGTTGTTATGTACAAGACGTCATAGTTTATTACTTTGAATTTGAAATTTAATCGACAGTAATAGCAGAACATTCAGTATAATAAATTAAATAACACATATCTGAGAGGGAGATAGAGCAGATTGTTACCCCTCGAAAAGACATTGTCAACCTTGGATTCGCCTCAGTTGACAATGTTTTCTCGGGGTAACAATCTGCTCTATCACCCTCTCAGCTATGTGTTATTTATATAATGTCCTATGGTCAAAAATGGGGAAAAAAGTGGTGACCCTCAATTATTTAATAAAACAAAGACATAAGAAGAGATACATTAAACTGTTTCAAATTTAAGATGACCTCAGATTTCAGAAAAATTTAAACTAAGTTCATTTAATAGTATGGTTTATTTTTCTTCATATGTTTTATGACTTGCATGAATATTTTTAGCACTTCTTCAGCCTCTATGAAAGGCTGGCTGATATAGTATGCTATTACTTATGTCTTTAGATTTAATTGTGATATTGTATCTGAGGCTACACATATAAAATCTAATCTAAACATGTATATTCATACTGGTTTAAAAATTAATAAAATGTATGTTTCTGATACACACATAAATCTATATATATGTGGAATTAACTAGCACATTTTGAATTTTGTATTTATACACCAAAGTCTATTCTTTGATTTCCAGACATAAACATGCAAATATTAAAATAGAAAAAGAACCTAAATCATTTTTGATTGTCTTTAAGTTTTAGAGGGGCAAGGACTCTTTTTATAGTTTTATTCAGATGGGCAAGGACTTTTTTGCAGAATTTAAAAGGATGGGCATTAACTTTTTTAATGAAATAATATTAAGAATTCACTGGCCCATCCATCTGGTAAATATTGAACGGTCCCTTAGTTTCCTAACGAGCAACACTTACACAAATGTCCATTTTGATCTCCGGCTTGTTCAAAATTCAACTGACGTTGCTATTTCAATTGTGACGTCAATCACGTGCAGCCCATGTTTTATTCAAAAAGTTCTCATCTAAAATTAAAAATTCTCATTCACGGTCATTTGCCATAATTCGAACTCAAATAGGTCGAAGTATTTCTCATAAGACAAACGTAAGAAAAAACGAGAAAAATAAAGGAAAACACGTTTTTCTTTTTATCAAACACTTGAAAATCGTGAATCTGGAATATTGAACACCTGGTGTATGCTGAACTGAATTTTTATAAATTAACTTGCATTTCTCAGGCCTGTATGTCAGCATACGAACCTGGTGTATGCTAAAGTCTACATTTAATTTAAACTTTGAATTTCTCAGGTCTGTATGCCTGCATACGAACCTGGTGTATGCCGAACGGCCAATATTGAATCAAATGTTGTATTTCGCAGGACTGTATGCCAGCATAGAACTTGGGTGTTTCCAGAATCTTCAATGACTATTCAATGTAATGCATACGAATCAGTACTACATACAAACATGGTGTTGCCAAAATACTTTACTTCATTAGTTGTGTTTTAACACCGATTTCGAGTTTTTTTTTTTTTTAAACTACAAGTCTACGACTGACCTGTATATATTTTCTCCCGGGTAAAGAGAAAAGCGTTAATTTGCAAGGCAAACCGGTAAAGCGTTTACTGTTGTAAATCTACTGGAAAATGAAAACCGATTCTCAAAATCCACGACTATGATCACTTTATTGACATGCAAGTTATCTGTTTAGTTTTTTGCAAATTAAAATTACGGAAAAATGAGGCGATCATAATTAGTACTTCCAAGTTGTTGACGAAATTTAAAATGACGTCAAGGACCTTGTGACGTAAGGCGAAGGGAATTAACGTGAGGGTACCCAAATTGCACCTATTTTGACAATTTTTTCACCTGCGTTTATTTATGATCCAGACCAAAGTTTTCATTCTGTGTTTATTTTGTAGACATATCCTTATTTACTATATAATGCCACCAATTCAATTTTGAATCCATATTAAATCATAGAAAAATGGGTTTGAGCCAACCTCCAAACGACCCATAATTCTGTAATGAGGAGTACCCAAATTGCATCCATGCTTAAATTCAGATGTTTTGTTTTAGCTTTACAAATATTTAGAACAATTTGACATTATTCTATGCTTACTTTTCATTTTCTAAGAAATGGATGCTTGTAACATATTTTATTTGCTCATTTTTAAAAGATGACTTTTTGTGGACGTCGCATAGCGACGTTTCGGTAGATTTTACTTTTTCCAGTGAATACTTCATCTGTTGATATACTGTGAACATTTTGTGTACATATACATATATTTGATTATGTTGGAAGACGTGCATAAAAATACAAATTGTTTCGTCTGTAAGAAAACTTGTAAGATTTCGACTACTTTTTTTGCTAAATAGGTGCAATTTCGGTACTCGGTGCAATTTCGGTACTGTGACGTTACAGACGAATAGCACAATGAGGGCCTTGACTTTCGCGAGTTACTTTTACCAGTACACTTAATTAAAATAATAGCAATTGATTACAATACAAAATAGTCTTT